CAGGGGAAAGCAGATCATACAAGAAATTTGGCGACGCGGCACAGAATGGGACAAGAAAATCGACACCGACCTCGCAGAGCAGTGGACGACCTGGCTACAACACATGAAGGACCTACGAGGCGTCAAAGTACCACGAGCCTACATAGGATACAGCGAAGCCACTTCACTTCAGCTGCACGTCTTCGTGGACGCCAGCGCCACCACGTACGCCGCCGCACTCTACTGGCGGGCCGAGTCGCCGGGAGGTCAAGTCGACGTGACACTCATCACGGCGAAAGCACGCGTGGATCCACTCAAAGTCACGTCGATACCGCGCCTCGAGCTACAAGCCGCAGTCCTGGGAGCAAGAAAGGCCGCCACCGTGATAGAAGAGCACTCAAGAAAACCAGAATCGAAGACATTTTGGACAGACAGCAAAACAGTATTGTCTTGGGTGCGAACGGGATCGCGCTCATTCAAGCCATTCGTCGCGCATCGCATAGCCGCCATCGAAGAACTCAGCACCATCAACGAGTGGCGATGGGTGCCCACGAAGCTCAACACAGCAGACGACGCCACAAGAATATCACCGCACGACTTCTACGGCTACCACAGATGGTTCACCGGGCCTCCGTTTCTACGAAACAAACAAGAAGAATGGCCCGCCGAAACTGCAACCGCAACCGAAGTCACCGGGGAAGAACGCGTGCACCACATAAGCACGAAGAAAGCGCCGTCAATATCCGAAGCTGCACCGGACGTTACTCGATTTTCGCGCTGGGACAAGTTAATTCGGACTACGGCAAGAGTACTACAGTTCATCGACCTCTGCCAAGCGAAAACCGACCGAATTAACTACAGAAGAAAGAAAAACGAAAAGGAACCCGACTGGAAGAAAAATCAAAAATCGGCGCCGACACATAAGAAGAAAACGACGCCAACCGTTCAAGAAAGAAAATTCATCGCAATCGACCGAAGATACATCGAACGCGCAGAGAAAATAATAGTTCGCGTAATACAACACGACGCATTTCAAGACGAGTTGAAACAACTGCGAGGGGGCGCCACCATCGCTACGAACAGTCGACTCCGCCCACTTTCGCTAGTAGTCAACGACGGCGTGTTGTACCTACGAAGCCGGGTCAACGCAGCGGCGGGAGTAACCGAAACTCAGAAGACACCGGCGATACTCGACGGGAACCATCGAGCCACCCAACTGTGGATAGAACACACACATAGAAGCCTTCACCACGCCGGGGTGGAAACTACAGTCAACGAGTGCAGACAACACTATTGGATTTTACGCATTCGACCCGTCACGAAACGAATAATAAGCAGTTGCATAAACTGCCGCATAAGGAGGGTGGCGCCACCGTCGCCACCTACCGGAGATTTGCCGCCGACGCGCCTCGCTCATCACCGACGGCCATTCACGTACACCGGATTGGATTATTTCGGGCCGTTGACAGTCACCGTGGGCAGGCGTCAAGAAAAACGCTACGTCGCGCTCTTCACGTGTCTTACTACGAGAGCCGTGCACCTCGAGTTGGCCGCCACTACGGCGCATGATAGCGCGCCGCGGGTGCCCTACCGAAATTTGGTCGGACAACGGGACCAACTTCCACGGCGCAGAAAACGAAATGAAGAAGGCAGTGCAGCAGGCGACGAGCGAAGAAGCAAGCATCCGCAGTATCCGGTGGAGGTACATACCGCCGGGAGCACCATTCATGGGCGGGGCGTGGGAACGCCTCGTGAAGTCCGTCAAAATCGCGCTAAGTGCGGTTTTGCAAGAAAGAAGTCCGCCCGAAGAGGTACTTACGACACTACTCGCCGAGGCCGAATACACCGTGAACAGCCGGCCTCTCACCCACGTGTCCGTGCACCATGAAGACGACGAAGCCATCACTCCCAACCACTTTCTGCTGGGAGGTTCAGCGCGCGTCCCACTGCCGGGCGAGTTCGACGAGAGCGACCTGATAGGCCGCCCGCACTGGAGAGCAGCACAGCGCCTCGCCGACCACTTCTGGGCGCGCTGGGTACGAGAGTACCTACCCGAGCTGCAACACCGGCGGGAGCCCCACGGGACCGGGAAGACCATCGCCATCGGGGACATCGTGCTCATCGCCGACAGCAACCTGCCACGCAACACGTGGCCCAAGGGAGTCGTCATCGCCACTTTTCCCGGGCGAGACGGCACAGTACGAGTCGTCGATCTGAAGACAGCCGGAGGAGTGCTACGCAGACCGACCAAGCGACTGGTGATATTCGCATCGGCCGCCACTCCCACGGAAGATGGATGCAGCGACGAGTCGACCGACGCTGCACGGCGGGAGTATGTACGCGACGACCGAAGCGAGAGAAAATGAACTTACGACAATACGAGAACAATGTATAAAAATGTATCTATAATTTCACATGAATCGGTTGTATACGCATTAAAAATATCATTCCCTTGTTGTCTTATTAGAATAAGTCGGATATCGCAATAATAGATAGCTCTGCCCATAGTAAACCATTGTAAAATTGATAGTTCAGAGCGATATTCCGCCCCGTTCTCTCCAATAATCTTATAAGACTTTATCTAAACGATCGCCACGACGCCAAGCGGTGGCGCGGGGAAACTAGTCAGAATACTGATAGTTCCGACCTATAGGAGGGACGGAGACAATAGGTTGTCCTTGTCTCACATCTTATAGGATTTTGCCTGAGTTAACAGTTTTCGATAATAGTATGTTTTATGTTTTGATTGATTTAATTTATGTCTTATTAGAAAGTAGGTAGTCATAGGAATAATATATCGAAGTTTTGTATGAATCGTGTTAGTAGTTTAAGCGTAATTAAGGAAAATATCGGGAATAGTTTTTTACGAATAGTCAATAGGATATAGGTATAATTGTTATAATAATGATGTTATTTTGTGTGTTTTTACTTCTTCTATAAAATGGTATATGATAGTTAGGCTTTAAGTGAACATAAGTAGGTTTTTTAAGACTTTTTAATTTGTAAACTTTATAGGGCCGTAGAGCTGTTGTTTATTGATATTCTTGTAAGAAACTTGTTGTATTAGATAGGTAACGCGTAGGGCTACGTAAATAAATAGGTATCACATCAATAAGTGTAAAAATGTACCGTGTAGGAGACAAAACATGTTTGTATAGAACCGTTTTCTGAGACATGTTGCGCTCCCCACCCGGCGCGCCCGGAGCGCGCGGGTGGGGCAGCGAAGCCCCGTGGCAGGGCAAAGCCCTATGGAGGGGGAAAGTATAAATATTGCGGAGACCTATTTTTTGCGCGCCACACCTAAAATATCGTGTTTACGGACACATAACTGTGTTAAAAATATGCCTAAATGTATGCCCGATGTATGTACAATTAGTTTTAAGCTCGCACTATTGTAATTTTTGAGAAAATGAAAAATAAAGTATAGCGTGGGTGAGGTAATGGATCGCTGGCCAGCTCAGTCCTAGCATATAAAATTCGAGTCGGAACATGCTCCGACATGCATTCAGCGACAGGCGCTCCTACCCTAAGGAACAGGAAGGAACAATCAAGCGGTTCACTCTGGACCTGAAGCCTCCTCTCACCGGCCATCCATTATCAGCGCCCACCGATTTCTTCAATACCGAACACCAGGGGTTTTATTCGCCGAAACTACAGTCCACTACAGTCAAGACTCCTGCGTGTAACTTCCTCCACCCCCTCAGTACGAGTCGGTAACTGTCCGCTACTGCGACAGCCCGGCGTCCCGTACAAAAGGTTTACTTAATATAATAACAAATAACCCATTTTTCGCTAGTAAGTACATACTTATTGGAATCCCTGTATTTATTAATCAGCTCGCGATAATATTGGTTTGTAATAATTCTGCAAAATTCAAAGTAAATAATGTAGATTTTTATAGGTAAATCACCCCTTTCATCACCCTACGCCTATAAGTATTGCGATGTTGTAGCTAAGAACCAAGTTCCCATCTACTTCTATATAGGAATTCATTATATTCGATTTAGCTATTAGGGCACGGAAGCGCAACAAACAAATTCACTTTCGCATCTATAATATTATATTATACTTACTAGTGATCCACCCGGGCATTGTACGGGTGAAATTTATTTATCGGGATAAAATATAGCCTTTGTCACTCGGACAAAATGTATTTAAATAAAGAAAAATGTTATTATAAATAACGTAGCTACCTTATGATGAGTTAATATTTGAAACCGGTTCAGTAGTTTGACAGATTATTTGTTACAATCATACAAATCTTGCTTCTTTATAATATTAGTATAGATAGTTAGGATAAGCTAAGTATTTAATTGATGAAAAAGATTTAAAAATAAAGTAAGTAATAGGTTTATTTGATTATATTTGTAGAAGTTACTTAGCATTTGTGCTTAACAGTGATATGTTATTCGGTATTTTTTTAAACAAAAAAAAATGGAAAATAATTGCCATGATTGCACTACTGGGAGTACTCTTCATTCGAGCTTTACACTACCAATAAAAAAGGGTCGAACATAAAGTCTTTGACCTGTTAAATGTGAACGCTTTAAAAGAAAACTACAAAGAGAACTAAAAATTGATAATAAATGAGATTGCTATGGTGCTCTACCTAATTTTATGAAAATTTTATTATGCGCCTTTAGTTTAATCAAATATTATAAACTTTGCTTTGGTGATTACATAATTATTTAATTTAGTGATCTAAGGCAATTGCCACCATTGTCCAAATCAACAGACAGGAATTACTGCTTTCTTCAACCTGCGACATAAACGTCATTGATTGGTATTGTATATAGGGTGATTAAAAACATTTGAAGTTAACTTCTGGCATCTACATATTGGGTTTCTGTGAATTATGTAGGTTAATCAATTATGAGACTAGGGACTGACACTGAATTTATGTATATCACAATCTTGACGTCCGGCATTGACATGACAATGCAGCCACTGCCAATTTTAAATAGTCGACGAATAAAAGTAAATGAATTTTATATTTACTGCTAAACTATTAAAAACACATGCGCCAGTTTACCCCCCAAGTCAAGCGTGCCTTAAGAAATTTCACTTCAAAAAAATTTATAAAACGCAACAAATTTATAATTGGATTGCGATATTGGTAGTTGAGAATGTAAATTAAATGGCCTTGGATGGTATTTATTATAGGATATTTCATTATTTATTTACAGCTTTCGGATAATGGATAAGCATAGCTGCATAATTTTTGAAAAGTTGGGCTGAACTTCTGTAACCTGCTTCAAGCGAACGACATGATGGTTTGTTATCTCACTTACAGACTGATTTTGACTGACTGAATGGCGTGAGCCTTCACCACAAATTCACGCCACGAACCTAACTTTCAAAAGACTGCACTAAATCGTATTCTGTTTATTTTTAGTGACATCTAGTGATGAAAAGAGGAAGTTATGGAGGAAAAAAAAGGTGTCGCTGCTGTTATATAGTTTTGTCCATTACTCACTAGAGGCGCTGTATTTGGCGTCCATCCCAACCTATATCGCTTGCTTGGCGCTAGTGGACTGTTTCATTTCACTCTACTCGCTAGAAATAGGTTAAAGTTCTGTAATTATTTTATTTTTCAATATTTTGTGAAGTGATTACTCGTCAGTGTTTATAAAAATGGAGAAACGGAAAGATACTTTAAGTGTGTTAAAAATGTGTAGATTTTGCCTGTCTCGAGATGATGCTATTACAAGTATTTATGATAGAGCCCAGAAAGCAAAAAATACAGTTACATTACCTCTAAAGATACTATCCTGTCTATCCATTGAGGTATATATCATAATTTTTATTGTATTAATGAATGTAGTTAAAATATCGTGAAACTTTTGCCTTAATATTGCGCCACCTAGGTACTGTTGACTTTTTGCAGTATTGTTCAATGGCGCCGTATTTCCTAATGCCGACTGGATAAAAATTATGCTAAGAAATTCCATTATACCTACGATTATTTTAATTAGATGTTTAAATTAGTTATGTGTACTATTGTTCACAGTAAAATTGTAGAAGCATCTTTAGTAAGCGCCATCTGGTGGAAGAATAATTAGGAGAACATTTTCCAAAAATAATTATTTTTTATCTTATTTTCAGGCTTTCCCTTCTGATAAAATGCCAACTTATATATGCAGTCGCTGTAGTTTATTCATGGATCTGTTCTATGAATTTAAAGAAATTTGTCGGAGTGCAGATCAGAGAATATTACAATACATTCAAACTGGATCTACTCTTGAAACTCTGAATTGGCCTGTGTCACTAACAAATGTAAGTTAAATAAGTTAAAGTTAAACAAAGATTTAGAAAAATATGTACTTAAATATATTTGTTAGATATTGCATAAAATTAAAACCATTGCATTGTCTGTAACTGACTGCAATTGATGTACTCTATAATCAGTACAGCGAAAAAGCCCAGTAAATTGAAATGAGTTGGTAATACAAATTGACTTATTTTTTTATCTGCAAAAATATTGTGTTAGTTAATTAATTAATGTTTTTATAGAAACGCATTAATGGATTTTTGCAGAAGAATAACTGAGTGCTAACATTAATATATTTCAATAACAGGGTTTTAGCTGTACAACACTGATTCAAATACATAATGATGTTGATTCTGCTATGATAATCTCTAAATTTAAAACTCAATTTAATTTCAGTCATTCCTTTTAATTTTTTGTAAGACATGACAAGGATACACTGTTCTCAAATTTAATTTTATGTTTAGAGAATCAAGCGAGAATTGACACCATTATCAATTTAAATTATGTTTAGCTAGTTATCGGCACCTTTTACAAATAAATAGGGTATTTGACATGTTTTAGGAAGCCAATCTCATGTTATTTACTAATGTCGATAGAGTCCATAAAAAGTTGATATTCATAATTCTGTTGTGCATTTCAGTAAAAAAAACCTAAAACAAAATTTCAATTTTTAAGTTGCCGCAAAAACATTTCTTTGGACATCATGGTGTTTCACTGGTATTTGATGTCAACTGACCATCATTAAAACAACAAACGATACAATGTCATTACATTGTATCGTTTGACAGTGACATTTCACTGTGACGGGAACCTAGTTAACTAGCTTGTGATGTCATTTTAGGCTTCGCCAATCCCAGGTGTTTATGATCATGTGACCATTGAGCAAAAACATTATTTCTATTTTAGAATTTTTTAGAAAATTATTAATTATTTGGTTTCACAGAATAGGAAAATTGCTGCTAATAATCATGTTGAATACAAATTCCAATTGGTACTTTATTTTTCATACTGTCAAATGCCTAACACAAATGAATACCATATTGGCTGGATTTAAGGAAGGCCCATGGGGTTGTGGCCCAGGGACAAGTCAGGGGGCCCCCACAACAGAGATAAACGACAATGAGTCACTTAACTTAGGAGCCTCCACTCCTACGTTGCCGCAGGGCCCCCACACCTAAATCCTGCATAAAATGCACTTAAGATCGAACATAAATTAACAAAATCACTTTAATAAAACGAATAGAATACACATTAAAAATACACTCTGTGTCAAAGTACATCCTTTTTTTCATCTGCCTGTCATTACAGGTTTTTCGAGATTTGAAGAGGCTGTCTAAAAATCCACACGTAGTGAAGGCTGTTATGAAAGATGGGGCTACAGTGAAAGTCACATCCCAAGAAGTGTCCAATAGTGAAGAAGATGATGAGGAAGATGTATACAATGTAAAGGTAAGCACTTAGCATAGAATAGAAAGAGACGGTCTTACCAGAATACCTACCACTAAGAAGACCGCACTGGTCATAGGTCTGAGCGGCAGCAGAGGCCGTAATCGTATTGTCATCGTCAAATTTTATATGGATGGAGCCAGTTTGTTCTTACGTCTTTAGGGTGTTTAGTTTAGAAACTGACGATGACTCACAATTACAGCGCTGTGAAAAATCGTGCTTGAGCCTCTGGTCGCCACACGTGAAACAGAACGCATACGACACGTTTCCCGCAGAAAAGTAGCTAAACTGACGTAGCTAATTATTTTAGTTTATCCGAAACTCGCGCGAACTTGTAATAAAATCAATCAAACACATAGAAAATTTCAAAACAATAATACCTACCTACCTATATTTGAAAATAGTGTCTGCAAATAATACTCATAGAACGAAAAGCAGAGGCATCGTTAAAATTTTCATAACTGAGGTCATTTGCTGCTTTATTAAATTATTTAATTTTGTTTCTTGTAGATTGGAGATGGATCAAAAGACATAGAAGTTGTTGTTAGTAATAAAAATAATATAGAAACTGAAGAAATCAACACCAAGCCAGTATCAGGTACATTTAGAATACAGTGTCATTGTTTTTTTTGTTTATGATTATTTAGTTAAATCCTTTTACTTTTTTTTACATTTCATTTTTGTCTTCAATCTGCGTGTGTTCATAGCTATTACGAAAATGTTGTATTATTAATTGTCTTATATTTTGGTTTTTTTTCTGTAACTTGATTTACACTCCACTTATAATCTCGCAGATTTAAGGCACAGTTTCATAAAGCAACTATGTTCTTATCATAACAAAGATGAGAGTTTTAAATGGAGGGTAAAATCAGTTGCTTTTTTTTTAAGTTGACTCATCAGGTAAGATATCTTTCTATTTTTTTTATTTTTGTTAATATATCACGGAATATATTTATTAGGAAACTAGTTGACCCGGCGAACTCCGTGAACCTTTAATTGTTCGATTTCTTCAAAAAATATCTTGTATACAAACCTTGTCCTGACAATAAGGGTATCACCCTTTTTTTCTTCATATAGTAGGTAAATTATCAAAAAGTCATCAAAAATCAAATCATCAAAACATTACAGAGATATACTGATGTACCTATATTGTGTAAATTTTTTACTAAAAAGTGACGTCACGAGCCCCCACTCGCCAACTGTCATGCTTTATCTTTGTAATTTTTTGTGTTGACTGACAGAAAAAAAAGTGTCCATTATTTTTCGAATATCTAATTCGTAGTACATGTCGAGACCCTCCCCCTCTAGCTTTCACGTTGTAAATTATTAGACTCATATTTATCTTTAATAATATGGCGCTTGACGCTTGAGTGTATGCTTCACTTTTTGGTTAGGAAGTTACGCGAGTAAATACGTTTCGCCGATTAATTTTTATTTGTATTGATAAAAAAAACACGTATTCTTAATGCTTTCTATTTATTGTATGCTCACATTTTGTTAGAATGAAACAGAAATAGGGTTAAAACTATCAATAACATTGACTTACTCAACACTAAAAAGTTTGAGGTTTCACGCAGATAATGAAAGTAAGTTAACGGATATCAAGGACCATGTCAGGAACTTGGAGGAAGGATGTTGGGCGTGTGACGAGTGCAACTGCACATATCCACTGCAGCAGTTGTTGGAGTTGCACAAAATGCAGAAGCACAGAACGCGAAATGTGCAATGCTCACAATGCGATGCGTAAGTTCTTAATTTATATTTTGTTGTTGTGTGAATTTTTAAACAAAATTATACTATTGCCAGAAATTACTTGTGGCCTTGCTAGATGGTAGAAAGAATTAATATTACTGTTTTATATAATTAAACTAGCTGTTACCCGCGACTTCGTCCGCGTGGAATAGTATCTTTGGGTAGCATTTTTAATTATTTAATAAGAATCATTAGTAGGTATAGTAGGTATATTTAAAAAAATTAAAAAATATTTGTTTACAGTAGGTATAAGCTACCTATGTATTCCATTGAGTGGCAGAAAGTACCTAGGAAAATTTATTGGTCCCTTATGTCCAAGAGAAACTTACAGGGGCCAGCGTCACGTTGTGTACAAAAATATCTTGGAGATGAATATAATATATTTTTTTAACTTGATACACCCAAACTTCTAAATATCATGTTCCTAGATTCAGTGGTTAAGATTTTGTATACAAAAAGTTTGGCTTCGTAGTTCCCAATCCCATACAACTTTTCACCCCCCCTTTTAACCCCTTATAACCCTCTTTTCGCAATAAAAAGTAGCCTATGTTCTTTCTCAGGGTCTAGACCATCTGTATACCAAATTTCATTCAAATCCCTTCAGTAGTTTTGGCGTGAAAGAGTAACAGACAGACAGACAGACAGAGTTACTTTCGCATTTATAATATTAGTCCGGATGGAATAAAATAAAAAAATGCATATAATTAAGACCCACCAACAAGTGAAAGTAACTCTATTGAATCATACGGCATTAGACTAAAACATGAAACCTTGTATCGAAACGTTGCAAGCGTCCCTCCGGTCCCGCTACTATACTTTGTTAAGAGCCCTTTCACATTTTTTGCAAAAAATCGAAATTTTTGAGCGCCTCGTTTACCCCTTAGATTTTGACTATTACCAATAGAAGAAAACAGTAGATTCTTCCTATTGTTACTTAATGTAGAATATTTGCAAATACGATTTTCCTTTTTTGTACTGATCGTTCTACCGTACGTTTACGGAAAAAACGATATATGCACAACTTCAAACACCTGAATCTCTTAATAATGTTCAATAAATTAGATCAAATTAATTACTGCGACATCAGAAATATGTTTTTGTTGTAACATAATGTATTATAATTTTGATTTTCCATCTCATTAATTATCAAAAAAAATATCTAACCTCCGTGAGTTTTCCCAAAAAACAATGCAGGTTTACCTGGTATTTTGATATTGAATTAAATAGAATTACTATCAAAAACTTTAAAACTAATCTACCATCATTGAACTACTGAAATATGTATATATTTAAATTTTTATAATATTAGTTTATTAACAATTATTTTATAAGACTCGAAACATCACCCGTAAAATGCAATATATACTAGTGCAAATCTACCTATGCGCCGATCAGTACGGCAGCGGCGCAGTTTTGTAAAAGGGCTCTTAATTGAAACGAGTTAGTGGAGCGGTATCTTTATCACCACAAAGTACGTAACTGACGCGCCCAACAAGAGAATGCTGTCTGATGCCTGGACTTTTTTCTAGTAAAATTTTTTTTAGATCATGACGTTTCATCTAAAACTTAATAGGAGTTCTGATACAAATCTGTCAAATTCTAAAGGATCATGGGGGATTTTGCATGGACCCCGTCCCCAACCTACAACAGACACGGGATGCGTCTCGATTGTCATTCGTACTCAAAAGGAGACCAAACACTTGTTATAGTTGAGAAATCGATGGGGTTTAATTATAATAAAAAAAAACTTCGATAAAAAAAGAGTTCATTTCCATACAAAAATATAATTTTCTTAAAAAAATATGAACGCGAACTGAAAAATTATTGACTTACAGATACAATGTTGTACTCAATATTCGTTTTTAACCGACTTCAAAAAGGAGATGGTTCTCAATTCGTCATTTTTTTAGATAAAGATTCTCTTTTTAGGGAAGGCAAAGATAACAATGCCCTCCAGCCTAGTCTTTAGTTATATAAATCCTCTTTTTTATATTAATGAATGTCGGTGTGAAGCATTCTAATGTTTCTTGGAGTGTTTGGCACGAAATGCGTCGAGATAGCTTTTCCGATAAGCTTCTGTGAGGTAGTCAAAACTACAAAATCTTACGTCCACTTGACCGGTATAGCGTATATTTTAAAGATTCCACTAATTCTTCAGTTGCGCAGACGGTTGTAAGTTGTAACACAAAATCTCACCAATTTTTTTTCACAATGTCCACTATGAACGAATTTAAGAATAAATAAAGTAAGACGCCAACCGCACTCGATGAAATACCGCCAAAAAAACCTTTTTTTTTATTATTGTCCGTGCATATCTGCGAGACGCGTGTACCGATTTTGATAATTCTCTTTTTGTTTGAATCAGTTTTTATCGCGAGATGGTCCCATATTGATTTAGTTAGGATCTAATCAGTAGTGTCGGAGAAAACAATGAAACTCCTCAATAAGAAACAGTACTCAATGCGTGTTTGGTTATTTTAAGCGATATGAAAGAGATAATGCGGGCCAGGGAGCTAATTGCCTAATGGGACTGCTATCGCTTACGATTTTATTTTATGACTGCCGACCGCGGTCAGAAGTAATAAAATGAAATCCTCCCAATCCCGTTAGGCAATTAGCCCTCAGGTACCGAGTACTTAGTGGGTTGATCTTATTCTGGCTTAAAAAGTGTGTAAAAACAAAAGTTTGAAACCGACTACATAAAAAACACCTCTGTCTTGAGAAAAAAGTCTGAACATCATATGTCTAACTTTTAAGGATGACCCACTATAACCTATTTCCTTAAATTAATGCAGGTGAAACCGTAGGGCACTTCTAGTATATACTTATAAAACCTAAACCCCATATACGAGTATTTGAAGTATGTCGCCTTAGTAAGAAATTATCTATCCTACTAGACGCTTTGAATGACATTTGTTTCAAACTGTTGAGTGGTGGGCACGTTTTTGCTCATTCTCCTTTAATTTGTTATTGATGTGGCATGAAATATCTTATGATTTTAAGATTTTGAAAAATGAAACTTATAATGAACAAAATAAGAACATGCAATTTCGCTATTTTAGCCCCCCTGTTGTCAACATGAATAGTGGAAATCGCCTTCAATTTTATGCTCCACTAACTCGATTCCGTGATCTAAGTATAGGTTGGAATGGCTCCTCTAAAATGTCTAAAAATACCTCGGGAGCTTCATATTGGTTGATAGAAGAACTAATTTACATCATAGGCTTAATTGTTTGTACAGTAACTGGAACAATATTATGGACATTATTTATAGATAATGCTGATAATAGGGATGATGACGGGGTACAGTAAACGAAATTCTATTTAGCCCGTCAGTTAGATGATCAAAAAATAATGGACACGTATTTTTTCTTTGGGCAATCAACCAAAAAATTACAAAGTTATAGTGCGTCAAAGTTTGGGAGAAGGGGCTCGTGACGTCACTTTTGAGTGAATTTTCACTTATAAGTGTACTCAAACGTGACGTCATGCGACTTTTCAAATCAATATATCTCTGCAATGTTTATATTATGTGAAAAAAGAAAAAATACGTGTCCAATACTTTTTGATAATCTCCCTCATAAACGAAGAAAAAAAAATAGTCATCATCCCTATTACAATCTGCCGGAAATCCTTTTCACTTCTGTGATGGGTGACATTTTATTGTGAGCTCATATATTTCTCCCTAAAACTATTTTTACAGTAAAATGGATTGTTCCATATTAGAATAATTTCGAAATAAGAATATCATTTCGAACTTAAATTTTTGATAGGGTTCCGTACCCAAACGGTAAAAACCTAACGGTAGGACCCTATTGCTCAAGAATCCACTGTCCGTTTGTCTCAGAAAAGTCAAAAGACAGACAGATTTTCACAGATGATGTATTTCTGTTGGCGCTATAACATCAAATACTAAAACCAAAATAAAATAAATATTAAAGGGATACTCACATTCAACAAACATGTATTTTCCGTTTTTTTTTTGCTTTAATAATAACAACAACAGGGGGCCAATCGCCTAACGGAAATGCTTTGGGAAACGCTAACGCTTACGATTTTATATTGTTATTTCTAGCCGCCTGAGGTTTTCGAATACCTCACGCTCATTTTTTTTAACATTGTTATTACCAATGCAAAAGAAAAAGAAAGAGCGCGAGGCATTTAAATACCTCAGGCGGCTAGAAATAACAAAATAAAATCGTAAGCGTTAGCGTTTTCCAAAGCATTTCCGTTAGGCGATTGGCGCCCAGGTAGTCAACAGTAGCTTGAAATATTCATGGAATATTTACTAACTTAGAAATAAAAAAAATATTTAAAATATGTATACCTATATTCAAAGGGTAGCTCCCATACTAGAGATGTGATTATTTTTCCGTTTTTTTTTGTCGATATTATAATGTAGTATTTAATGTTGTGTAGATAAGGGTGCAGAACCCTTCATGCGTGAGTCCGGCTCGCACTTGGCAATTATTTGAAGTGTAGACTGAAATTCAGCCTTTACATTACTCTGAGCCTTAATTTTTTAATAGCCATAGTCATTGTTTTAGTACATTAGTACCTTTAACGGTTAAAATTTATTCCAGAAAATTCTTCACAAAGTATGATTTAATGACACATACTTTACGTCACACTGACGAAGTGCCATTCCAATGTGTCGCATGTGACAAGAGATTCAAACGACTATTTCTATTAAAACGCCATGAAAAGGTTTGCAAATATTTCTGATTTCTCCTACATGCTTTGAAATCGATTTATCAATATCAAAAAACGTGGGTAACATTGAAAATGTTTAGAACTGGCCAGTTAGAAACATTGCTAATGAAAACTTTTTTGAATTTCAATTTTAGAAGTCTTTGGTAACCTCATGTAGTATATTGCATTCATTTGTCTTTTGTTTTTGTGAATTGGCGGCAAATCTAAAACTATTGTTGCACGTGAAAATGAACCTAACGCGAGAAAATTTTCGGTCAATGATTTATTATGACTTTCGTTGTGGGCTTACTCAACAACAAAGCTATGATAGGCTGCGATTAGCATTTCTTAATGAAGCCCCAACTCGTGCCACTATTTACAATTGGTTTAACGAGTTTAAGCGTGGACGTACCAATTTCAATGATGATCCGATGAGTCCTTTAACAGCGACTACTGAATATAATATCAGTGCTGTGCGACGCATGATAGAGGAAGATAAGAGAGTGACCTATCAGCAGATACGGGTAAGCCTAGGCATTTGTATGAGTCAAGTTCAAAAAATATTACACGAACATTTAGGCGTCAGGAAGCTTTGTACCAGATGGATTCCCCATACTTTAACCGACCACCAGAAACACCTTCGTATGGACTGGTGTCGCCAAATGTTAGATAAGTTCAACGGCGGTGACTCAAATGCTGTATTTGACATCGTCACAGGTGATGAAAGCTGGATATATTGCTACGAATCCGAAACCAAAAGACAATCAGCTCAGTGGGTGATTCCTTTCGAGGATCGGCCAACTAAGGTAAAACATGATTGCCTCATTCTTTGGTCGGAAAGGTCATTTCGCGACAGTTGTGCTAGAAGATGGAAGGACAGTTACTGCAGACTGGTATGTCAATAGCTGTTTACCTGTTGTCTTGGAAAAAATCGACAGCAGCGCCCTCGAAGCAGGATCCTCCTTCACCACGACAATGCTTCAGCGCACTCCGCAAAACGGACTGTTGAATATTTAACTATGGCAGGTGTCCAGATAATGAGTCATCCGCCGTACAGTCCTGACCTGGCGCCCTGCGACTTTCATTTATTCCCAAGAACTAAAGATAAAATTCGAGGTTTTCTCTTTACGAGCCCTGAAGATACGGTGAAAGCGTACAAAAATGCCATAGAAGAGACCCCTAAGGAAGAATGGGCCCACTGATTTTCTCAGTGGTTCCATCGAATGCGAAGATGTGTAGAGAGGAACGGAGATTACTTCGAAAAACAATAAAAGTATTGGCAACTTTCTACTTTAAGCCGTTTTTCATTTTCTAATCATTTTTAGTGTTACCTAGGTATATTATTAGCGGCATACATTTTTTTATATTTAATATTATCCTCTTGGTATATTTAGAGATTCCTGAAAAAAACAACTTATAATAAAGATATAAAAATTTCTGCAAATTTTTATGCAATTCCTCATTCAGCAACAGATTCGATCTTTATTAAAAACTTCTCTTACAGATAATACATGCGAACATACCACAGCTGGCCTGTCCTAACTGTCCTGCGACGTTTTTGTCCATAGAGGAACTAATGGCTCATCAGAGGCGGCACGTGCGCCATTCGGAACGCAACCACGCATGCGGCTTGTGCGATAAAAAGTAATTACAATATCAAAGAAACAAAAGAAACTTAAAAAAATATTTTAAAAATCGTCAAGTTGTTATTTCTTTAAAAATCATTCATCATCTTTGTATCACACCTATAGGTGTTTTCGTATCATGGCTCCATGAAAACATCGAATAGCTTCGCTCATCTCGCTTCCTTTTCCATCGTTTCAGATTCCATGAAAAATCAACACTGCAAAGGCACATTGATCTTGTGCACGAAAAGAAACCTACTTTCCGTTGCGAATACTGTCCAGAGCGTGAGTGTAATAGGCATAAGAAAACAAAGAACGTAGCTATGAACATGCGCATTTCATTATGTTTAATATTTTTTATATTTGTCAGTCGTACTGTGACTGTAATGATTAATAAATATTATTATTTAGATTTTATTGAATTTATGGTTGTTTTTACAGAATTCACTTCAGTAAGCAAGTTGACTCGACACGTACGTTCGCACGCTGGCGAAAGGCCTTATCCATGCAAGTACTGCAGTAAGAGCTTCTTGAAGTCACATCATTATACGAGGTATGGTTTGAAACGGTAATGCTAAAACGAGCAATATGTCTTTGATTGAGTCTCTTTGTTTCTAATTACAAAGGGCAGCAATGAGTCTGTGAAAAAAAAGTCATTAGGAATTTTTGCAATGGTATTTCTACTCTCTCGAGCCATGCATAAGAAGAATCTTATGTTGTTATTAGAAAATATGAATTGCTGATTTAATCCAAATAAAATAATAGTTGTATTTGCATTTTTTTATAAATTATGACAAGTATAATGCATGTTAAAAAAAATCCTCATGAGAATATTTCTTATTACTTATTCATATGTAAATAAAACAACTGTACACACTTCTGTTCTTTTCGGCTACATAGAAATATACCAATTTCACTACCATACCTAGCATCAACAGTCTATTTGATTGCACATTAATTTTTAATTTATCACATGCTGTATTATTTTCAATATCAGAAAAAAATACAAAACCAAGGTCTAATGCCACGCACCGAACTTCCTCAACACTTCCTTATATGAGGAAATACCATTACCATTAAAATACACTATAAGTATATCATTGCGTTATTCCCTCAAATATTTACTGCAGTTTTTGCGTTTGTTATTTACTGATATACAAGAAAAAACAAATCTTTCCTCTTTATAATCTAAAATATAAAATTCTCGTGTCACGGTGTGCGTCTTTCTATGCGTGCGAACATTGTGAAGAGACACTGTGCTAGAAAAAGTTTGAGAACGTAGACGCTCAATATAACACATTAAAAGATAACATTGTGTAATTGTCCCCTTTAAATACTCCTGAATTTTTTACATCAACCTACAAATACTTCAATAAAAAGGGTGAAAGACACGTCTGTACGTTTTTAGACATCTCCGTGTAAAACATCGGGAAACCATAAGGAAACCGCGCGGTCCGTTCGGTCAGTCGGACTACCGATGCGAGCAGTGCGAAGAGGCATTCACTACTCAAGACGACCTCATATACCACTCGGCCATACACGCCACGCAGAACCTCATCTGTCCGCTGTGCCAGGAGAAATTCGAGAATGTGGACGCTGTCACTGCGCACATCAAGTCGCATGTCAACGGTGAGAATCTTATCTTCTTAATTAATAATCATAATACCTATGTGTGGATGTTAGCTAAATCGGATTTTTATCCCGGGAAAATTATAGGTTCCACTGGGATTCTCTAATATTGAAATATAATGCGGAGGACGTGTCTGGCAGAAGCTAGTTACTATATTTGTTTTACGAAATATGGAGGCAAAATAATAATATCGCCCGCCTGATGGCTAGCGGCTTTTAGATGCTATCGATACCGAAGTATTATTCCGGCCGTTGTCTAACCTGCCGGCCTATTCGCTAACTTTTTTGGCATTTACATGTGTAACTAAAGATAAAATTGCATATCCGTTGATGCTTTTCAGAGCAAGTATCTTAGTGACGTTAAAATAAAGCAGTAGTGGATCACTAATAACCACACCGAGAAAAGGTAGTGTTATTACACTGTGATCTTCTAGTGAATGTTATTTAATCATAATGGATTCAATTAAAACACGGAAAAACATAACCGAAGAAATAAATACTATTTTGTAATTTTATCCAAAATCCTGTGTTATTATAATTTATGCTACTAATATCTGTAATATCTCATCTATAATGTGATTCTACCTCATACAGGCATGGAATTCATGTGCGACCTGTGTGAACTTGTGTTCACAACCAAAGAGAAGTTGGAAAACCACTTAACCAGTACGCACGCCGACGTACGTATTGAAATAAAGACGCTTATTTTGTTTCCTGTTACAAACGTTCCATTGCCATCCCGATTTATCGTGACATATTTTGTGTTATAACAGGAATTAGATCAAGATGATTCTTCCATGGAATTAGACGGTGACGATTCTGAAGACGACAACGACATTCATGGTAATTTATTATTTATTAAAAGACTGTAAAACTTTATTATCCTTCTCGTTTCATATATTATTACCATTTACCGCTTAGGCCATTATACTGAAGATATATCAGTATAGAGACAAAAGCACAATACAATAATAATACAGTTTGATTGGCTTAATGCGCACCAGATTTTGAGAACTTAATTCTTACACAGCCCCCACTTAGATATATGAATTAAATAAAATGCTTGTCAACGTAACGTGTTGTCTTTTTCTATCATTATTACAAAGAAAGTGACATCTTCAACTTTATTCATCCTCTGTATTAAATTTTCTGTTTGACGTATCTATAATCCCGAAACTTTCAAATCAATTAGCGTGTATGATTGTGAAATCCTGTGATTACAAAAACGCTGTTCAGAAAATAATCTTTAAATGATAATATACTTTCTCTTTTTTACTCATTCAGTAAAAGAAGAAGATGGTGAGATGGTTGTGGAAATAAAGAAAACTGACAGCTTTATGGTAAGCAAAAGCAAATATTAAGCAATTAGTGGAAATATATCTATAGATTCTTGTTGAAAGTCTAAATAGTGCTGAATTGTTTGTCGCAGCTACCTGATACGCAACCCGATTCAGAGGAAAAAGCTGATATCACCCAATCTGAAGGTCAGTACACCTATGAACATATTTATTACTTTTGTAATGATAAAATTAAAGGGTCAACAAGAATATCTCTTGCCTATTTCTTATTATTATTATCCTATTTCTTTTATGTCTATGGTCTGTCTTGACTTCTTTTAAAGTGTCTCACAGACAGACGCGCCCTTCGCTTGTGCTTGGGGTGGCGGTCAGTTGTATTCCCTTGCAATTTAAGCGAGCGTTCAAACACGATCGACCAATAAGGGCTAGCCGCGGCCGTGGTCGCAGGCCGGCTCTTTCTGTGAGACTCTTTATTAGTTTCATATGACGCTATCTTAGCAGCTGTCATCAGACGTCAAGTGGCCAAGTATAATAATAATAAGCAGTTCTGGTGACCCTCTTTTTAGGTAGTTTATACTATATTTATTTTTGTATTTTACTTTTATGTCTATTTTATAAAAAAACTAACTATTAAATAAAATAAATTAGATAATTTTTATAAAAATTCTTTATTTCTTACCATAACCAGTTTCTTATTCCATCAAAAAATCTTTAGTAAAAAGGTCACTTATATAATTATGGCGGGCTGACACCTAAACTAGGAAAAAACCCGTGTCTCAGGTTATCAGCTCTCTACCTCTTTGAATGTAGTACAATACAACACAGTTTTCTATAATTTGAATATATTGATTATTATTATTAACTAAACAATAAATTTATTTGACAATTATAATATTGTAATTTGGGGGTAGGTGGTTTGCATCTTTAATATGCGTGAACAAGAAAGGTTGTTGTGTTGACTGTTTTTACTTATACTCGTACGTTGTGTATTGATAAAAGTGCATAACTCAAGGACTTGTCGTGTGGGTCAAAGTAAAAGCGATTAGCGTGTAATACTGTAATCATTAAATAGGTAAAAATACTGTTATACTTTTATAAGTTTGTAAATAATTTAATAATGTGTATTGTTGTTATAATGAAAAGAACAAAAAAATAATGTAAATGCTCGTAAGTATGGTAAATTTTGTTTAATATAATTAATTTAATTAAATTAAGACGGGTATTGTAAGGCCTATACACAAAAAAGGCAGTCTAGATTCTTATGAAAAATTATCGTCCGATCACAATACTTTCCACTATAGATAAAGTTATAGAAAAGGTAATAAGCAAACAAATACACACATTTTATAAAAATAACAGCATAATCACAAATAAACAATTTGGTTTTCAGTCTGGTAAAAGCATGACTCAACTTCTCACTAAATTCACTGATAGTGTTAATCATGGTCTTAATGAAAAAAAAACATGTTTTGGTACTTTTTATAGATTACAGTAGGGCGTTCGATTCCCTAAGGCACAACACTCTGATCAAAAAGCTTAGCGATTGTGGTATACGTGGTCCTCTCAATACATGGTGCCAGGAGTATTTGAATGGTAGATCCTATATAGTTAAGATAGGTGACGCTTTAAGTGATAGTATCACTGTAAAAGATGGCACCGCTCAGGGTTCTGTAATAGGCCCATTGCATTATATAACTCACGTGAATGATGCGGTTAATGTCGTTTCAAAGAGCGAAATGTATCAATACGCCGATGACACCTGCCTGATATCTGTAAACAATGATCTGGACACTGCCCTTTCATCATTTGCAAGAAGACTTCATACTTTTATCCAAATGGTCTCACGATGTAGGGTTAGTAGTAAACCCAGACAAAACAAAATTAATGTATATTAGTTCTAGTCACAATAGAAAATACAAAGATCTGAAACTAATTGCGCACACAAATACATGTCTACATGCTTGTTCATAAATCTGCACTTGTCCTACTATTGAAATGGCAAAACGCGTTAAATATCTCGGTCTAACAATTGATGATCGATTTAAGTGGACGGAACATATATACAATGTATGCGACAAACTAAGGGCGATACTGGCCAAGTTTGCTATTGTTAAAAACTAAATTCCGTATGAAACACTATTGCAGTTGTATAAGGCACTGGGAGAAACTACAATACATTACGGCTTGAGTAGCTACGGTCGAACCTTCAAATCGCATCTTGATTCTATAAAAGAGCTTCAGTTAAGAATTCTTAAAACTATAGTGCCAGAAAAGATAAAACTCAGTACCAACACAACTACAATGAGCTATTCTATCATTGTGGATCCTACCTGTACATGATCAAGTGTGTTGTGCATTACTGATTGAAAACTATCACAATAAAAACTTTCTGACTGCCATCCAACGAAAGAAACTAACACGTAGTGCCTCAAAGATTATATTTGAATTACCAAGGTATAGCAATCTGTATGGTAAACAGTTGCTTCAACACCAGATTCCTTAATTAATAAATAAATAATAATAAATAAATATTTCCAACACTCACACCAATTAGCCTAGCCCCAAAGTAAGCACTATAAGGCTTGTGTTATGGGATACTAGGGTAACGGATAGAATACATAAACTGTACATATATAAGTATATTTTTTTTTTATAGAAATACATATTAAACATCCATGACTGGAGTACAAATGCTCGTATTCATCACACAAACATCTGTCCCCACCGGGATTTGAACCCGGGACCTCACGAGTCGGCGACACCATGAAACCAGGCGTACAAACCACTCGACCACGGAGGTCGTCAAATCTGCCAGAAACAATTAAAAATAAAATTAATCAAAGTAACATTAATTCCATTTTAAAAACATATTTTCTATCCCTTTTAGTAACAAAAACCAATATCGACATGATATAAAACTAAAACAAAATAATATGAAACACGAAATCAGCCCGTGTGTTTCCACTCTTTTGATGTATTGCTCTGCGCGGTGTTTGGCCAACAGCTACCTAGCTTTTCACTAAAGGCGGTGCGGTATATATAAAAAAAATGGGTGCGTGTACTTATGTAGGCGCGCGAGTAGTTATCCTTCTTTGGCATCGTTTAAAATTAGTTTTTAATTGCATGCAAATAATTAATTACAATAAATTAATAAAAAGTCTGGAAAAGGACACAGTCAATAAAATTCAGTTTTAATTTGAAAAAATACATAAATAATCAAAATATTCAATTAAAATCGCTACTGAATATAATTTATTAGATCATATGTGATTTGCACTTGTATGAAACTCAAACACGTATTCCGAATATACAAACTAGATACATGTGGATAAATATTATAAATATGAATACCTATAACTGTTACTTTATTACAAAAAATAAAGATGTGGATATTTGGTTCTACTACACCAATGGTCAAGAGATGGCGCTGTAGTCTCCTGAATCGCGCTTTGGTTCCGTTGTTCCAGATTAATAAATACTTTTGATATTATAAATATGAATACTTATAACTGTTACTTTATTACAAAAAATAAAGATGTGGTTTTTGGTTCTACTACACCAATGGTCAAGAGATGGCGCTGTAGTCTCCTGAATCGCGCTTTGGTTCCGTTCTTCCAGATTAATAAATACTTTTGATAGGCCTTCACAATGCAGTCGTTAGCACCCACAAAATAGAGATTCTATTTCTATTTTGTTGGTAGATTTTCTTAATGTGCGGTAAACACAAAAGTAACAGCATGAAGCTGGTCGCTTTATGCTGTTAATTTTTTGTGTTACAGTGATGCGCGCCCATCTTAAAATTTCACTCTCATCATTTTTTCATAACGCGCCTAAAGAAGTATAACTTCAAAAATATTAATATTAATTACCTTGCCGATTAATGTCTGATGAATGAATGGTTTAATTTAAATTTGTTCATTGAGTAGACGTACCTGCGGGTCTTGATGGCGAACAGCAGTGTCCGGGAAAACCAATACTGGTTTATGAGACACTGTTATACACATAAGATTATAATGTATTTCTTATAATATAATAAATAAATTAAAAAAAAAATTAGGAATTGTATTGGTATTTATCGTACAAATTAATGTTTAGAAGTTTGAAGAAAAAAAATTGTTTTTTTTATAATATTGTAAAGAAATGGGGCCCATATGCAGTTGTATTTGAATAAATTTTGTTTTAAAATAAGGTCCATAAATATGCACACGTCTTTTGTTTTGATCTATTAAGCCTATAATACAGAAATATACTTCGAACCTTGACCATACATACTTAGTTACACCATACATAGTTAGCCGTACTCAAAAACATCATTAAAAATGATAAGGTAAAATAAAATGATGTAGAATTGTAGATTAAAGAATAGCCCGTTTTCACGACCGAGAGGTGGCGGGTTCGAATCCCAATTGGGGTATATTGTTTTAAACTTTCATCGTCACTAACACTATAATAATATTTTTTTTTGTTATTATTGGGATTGCTACCATGTACCTTGTAATTTGCGAATTACGATATTTCGGCACTGTTTCAAGGGCCATGATCACGGAGTAACTCAGTCATATGTTTTTCTATATAAATACACTTATATAATGTATCAGTATATTTTGAATGCTATCTGTTACTCTAGTATCCCATAACAAGCCTTACAGTGCTTACCTTGGTGCTAGGCTAATTGGTGTGTGTTACAAATATTTATTGAAGAAAGAAGCTTCTATTAGTATTTTGCTGTGAGGAAAAATCGTTAGGGCCCCGTGGAGGGGATAAACGATATATCACGCGGTGTGAGGCGGCAGCGGCGGACGGAGCACTTGTCCGTTGAAGTTAATTTTTACTACGTGTCCCACCACTTTTTTTGAAGTGGAACTTCTTTACGCACGCTTGACTTGGGGGGTAAGCTGGCGAATGCGTAACGAGTTACGAAAAATTTGTTCGTGCGAGGCGAACGGGAGTTGAGTGGGGGAGATAAGGAAGAGAAAGCAGTGCGCGCCCACATTTTCTTTCTCTCTTTCTGTTATAGCTAGTAAATAAAATATGTATGTGTGCATACATGTATATTGTGTATATATAAGAACAGATGGAGCTAAAGAAGTTTCACTTCAGTCGTGTGGCCATAAGCACACTCGTTTTTTTTTTATTATATAATAATGTATTTAGGTACTGAGAGTGAATCGGAAGCAACATACACGGAGCTGGCGACGGTAGACACGTTAGCGATAGTGAAAAATGCTGACGACGTTAAATCTGAAACTGACGAGATGGAGCCAGCAACAAAGGAGATCGTCACACCGGCCGTCATTAGGAAGTTGCCAGCCAAAACGCCGATGAAAACAGAAAATCAGGTGATTAACCATAGACAATTAAACATAGAGAATAGACCGAGCGCTCCCTGTGAATATTTAGAAAAAAACTATTTTAATCATAATGAATTGTATTAAAAAGGTAGATGACATAACGGACAAAAAAGTGTTATCTAATCTAAAATAGTGAAGAAATTAAGGTATCGCACGCCCTTCTGTAGTTCGTATGTCTATGGGCTGCACCATCGCCATCACTATTCTAGAGAATTGTCAATTACATGAGTCACTCGGTCCTTATCTATGTCCTTTTTTACGAGGCACACAAAATAACCCCATCCTACCTGATGTTATTTTGTAAGAGAAGACGGTGTGACACCATCTACTCACGACACAGGATACTCACGGCGCCATCTATGGGAGCGTGCAGTAAAATGCTTTGCAGCACACTACGTTGTGACCCGTTTTTTTGAATTTGGATTAATGTATACAACCTCCGTAAATGCATTTTTTGAGCAAATGTGTTGAAAATATCTATTACTGTGGTCTTCTGCAAGGTGTAGAGGTGGCTTCCCCAGTTGGGCGCTCCAATTCGAACTGAAAATCCGCTCTGCCCTACCTCTTCTCTCCTCCTCTATGTTAGGAATAAACAACAGAAACGGATCTACCGGACCATGCGGACCCAGTGTAGATTGGTGTGGCGTGGTATTGAACCATGGTATACATAGAAGCACATTCCGTAATACTTACAGCTGTAAAAATTACCTCCAATTTGTCATACACACTATAGCAATTGCTAAAGTAGGTGTGTATTGCACCACAATTTACATGATATCACCTTTTTATCGTGTCTAACTGTCAAACTCCATTGTAATTTAACAATTGAGCTGATAAAACCAAACTATATGGCATATTGCGGTGCTCATGCTCATGTAGTGCTAAATCATCATCATCATCAGCCTATTAATGTCCCCACTGCTGGGGCACAGGCCTTCCCTATGGATGGAATATGGAGATTGGGCCATGACCCACCACGCGGGACCAGTTCGGATTCGCGGGTGCTAACGACTGCAGATGCAGCCGAGACCAACGGCTTAACGTGCCTTCCGAAGCACGGAGGAACTCGAGATAGAAGATTTTTGGTCACCCATCCAATGACCGACCACTGCTAAAATTGCTTAACTTCAACGATCGCAGCCGAACGCGCTAACCACCTGCGCCAACGAACTCTTCAGTGCTAAAACATATTATTATCTAATAAAGCGGTAACCATTATAAAATGTGTTGGATATAGAGAAGCTTGTAATAATAATAAAAAAGTTATCGTTTTTGGCAATTAACAACTGGATTTATTTCAGACTGCGAGTATATTGAGGAAAGCGGAAGAAGTGAAGCGCAGAGTTAAAGCGGAAGCTGTAAATGGTGTGTTGATAACTTTTACTAATAATGTTACTTTTTTGCTAACAGCCGTAAATTAAATTATAAATTTAATTATAGTTAATGCTGTTAATCTTAGCGACAGCAGTATTAGGAATAATTGAGATCTCTGAGTGCTGACGTTAGTTTTTTAACACAGATTGGTAAATTAGTTATGCCTCTTGTCACGCTCTACAGAATAATTTTATCAACCAAGCTGGCACTTCAATTACAACAAAAAATATGATTAAATCAACAGCCCTACACTTTATTAAACCATGATCTTAAATGTTCTTATTATATCTTAGGTATTTTTACAGAAACAAAGGAGAAAATTGTTACCAAGGCGGAAAGCACCAACAGCATAGGAGGTGCTAGTGACAAATCTCTGCGCTTACTAGAAAAGGAATTACAGGAACTGAAAAGGGTAAGTAATTCAAAAAATAACAAAAAGCTATCTTTCTGGTACACACTTTAATTAGGCTCTAATAACGGAAACACTTTCTTTATCAAATAGTTGCTCACAAGTAACAAAGAAGAAAACTTGCGTCACACGAGAAAAGGAACTGTGATTGGTCGGCGCAACGACAACAATACTATTCAACCAATAACAGGAAAGCTCATCTTTCGGCGTATTAGTTCGTTTCCGTGAATAGAGAACAGAGTGTTTAAAACATCGAATAATAATTTGCATAGAAGAAATGCTAAAATAAAAAACAGTTGGGCTAGATTGTTACTGTTCTCAGTCAAACGGGTGTATGTGAGACAGTAAATCATATTTTTTTCTGCTTTTTTTCTCAATTGTCCAAGATTTGGTAGTACTTTTTAGTTGACTTGTGGTTAAATTTCTTGTGTTATGTATATGATTATTCTAAAGTATGACATACTATAACAAGTCTTTGTAGAGTGAACTTTCTCCTTTATAGACAAATACGCGGAACGAATCTATAAAGACCCCTGCGAAGCCTATGGAGAATTTAAGAAATCGGAGACCACAACTTTATTCCTCTACACCTAAAACAAGGTAAAACATCAAATTCTTTTCTCTACTGTATTTAAGGCTACATTGATTCTGGCATGTATCTCTGAACCTAAAATTAAATTTGACATCAGTGTATCCTTGTCATTCTCTATAAAGAAAGAAAAGGAGAGACTGGTGTTAAATTTAGCGTTAAGTTTAGAGAGAATCATGCCAGAGTCGACACCATTGTTGCTGTATACGTTAAAAATATTTATTCCAATAAACAAATAGAAGAATGTGTTAAATTTGAATTCTAGCAAGTCTAACACAGTTGCAAATAAAACTTTAAATATAAATTGGCCACTTTAGAGTCAATAAAAGTACTAATGCAAACAATATGATGGGCGCTCATCACCTTGATTGTTAATTAGTAATCACTATTAAAATTATATGGCTTCGTCCGCCTTCAACTGATGCTTTTCGATAGTTTTAAAGAGTTCACGTTACGGCTATGTATCCGAATATATTAAAATATTTACCATTCTCATCACATTATTTCTTCAACACTTCTTAAGAAGTAATAATTACAGAGCAACAGAAGAAAAGAAAGCTGTAGTTTCGAACAAGTCTCCCGCCATCGAGAGGAAGGTAATAGAACGTCGCATAACCAAAGAAAATAAAGAACCTAAAGAGGTTAAAGAAGTGAAAGAGATTAAAGAGACTAAGGAAGTTAGAGAAAACAAGGAAGTTAAAGATACCAAGGAAGTTAGAGAGACAAAAGAGTCTAAAGATTTGAAGGAGCCGAAACAGACCGCTGCTGCCAAAGAAGATAAAGAGACTCCTAAGGTAACTATTACTTATAAACATACGCCCGGTTCCTGTACCCCTAGCACGAACCAATATCGAATTCGTATCGTTTGCGAGTCCGAAATGTCATTGTCAAATGTGTACTGATTTTTAGTTCTCGTTACGTACTTTGTGCCGCTGCGCTGCTGTTCAAGTTTCCATACAAAATTTGACATTGACATTTCGGTTTGCAAACTATTCGAATTCGATGATGGTTCGTGCTAGGGGTACTGAAAGTTTTATCGAATCTTTCATGCCTGTCAATTTAACAGCAGTACTAAATCAATTGACGACCTCCGTGGCCGAGTGGTTTATACGCCGGGTTTCATGGTAACGCCGACTCGAGAGGTTCGAATCCCGGTGGGGGCAGATGTTTGTGTGAGTTGGGGTAGGTCTGGTCTAAATGACGACACATACAAAAGTTTTTTAGAAGACAATCTACCCATATTACTGAAAGATGTAAATCTTGAATTAAGACGAACGATGGTGTTCCAGAACGAAGGGGCGCCATGTCATTACGCGACACAAGTGCGTCGCCATTTAGAGCAGACCTACCCCAACAGGTGGATCGGACGACGAGGGCCAATTGCCTGGCCACCACGCTCCACTGTGGAATATTTCGGTGTGTTTCGGATTAAAAATCTGTAACTCCGTCAATTTGAAAGATAGACTTATAAAATTTTGCTATAATATAAAGTGATACATAAGGATTCATATAAGTAATGTTTGATGAATTGGAATTATGCGTATTTTTTTTAATTAAAAAAGAAAAGTCACAAAATGATTTAAAATAGTATTATTAGTATTCTTTATTTATTGAAATATTTTTAGAAACATATTGTACGTCTATTTCTTAATGCTAATTACTCTATTAAGATAACTATCATATTATATTGATAATATAAAATTAAAAATGGTAAAATATTTTTAACACTACGCTAACATACAGAAACAAATCAAAATTATCTCAATATATATTTCTTTTTTTTTGCTCAGCAAGATTGACATCTTACACCCGGTGAGCTTCAGGATCTGAAATAAGTTCATTAACCTTGAGAAGGTGTAAAGTATCTTCATCGAGCTCCTTTACATTTTTTGCATATGGTTTTCTTATGCTCGTTATATATGGATCTGAAGTGTAAAGTAGTGTATTAAAAACATCTTCGTTTGTAGCTATTCGAGAGCATTTCCGAGCATGGTGTAAGCGAAATTTTTTATAGTCCTTATTGCGAGATTCTTGAGCATCTTCTGAAAGTTGCCCAATTGGTAATACCGCGAAATGGTTTATGATACTCTCTCCGTAAATAAAAATTTTGTGGACAGATGATGGCATGTAATACCAACTATATTTACTCACGTATATTCTTGCAGTTTCCAGAGCATAATTACCAAATTTCTTACTATCTACCACTATACCAGATGACAAAGCCTGCAAAATTATATATAACCGTTTAATTAAATCAATGTCAATCCCTGTGATATCAGCAGAACAGGCAGCATTGTAAAAAAATCTCCTAGCAGTATTGCCATCATTACTATTTCCCGTCCCTGTCGTGGTTTATCGATATTTAGACCCAACTCTTCACGAAATCGCTTTTGTACTTCAGCCTTTTTTTCTTGTTTGAGTCTTTTTTTTCTTCGCTTGTAGCAGACCACGTTTGGAAAGATAGATTATATGATATGTGTAATATCATTTCCATGCAACGAATCCAGGCATGTAATGTGGATAATCCGTATTGATAATTTTCAGGCCTAACTATTACTTTCGTTAAATCATTAATTTGTCTAGGAGTTGCTCCGCATATTGTACATGTGGAACTAGAAGGCGTATCTGTTAAAACTTGTGCCACTTTTCCGTCTATCATCGTCAAAAAAAGTTCATGCTTGACTTGGACTCCCACGCCTTCTATATTAATTATTGATGGAAGCAAAGTTTGTATTTGATTTTTTATTTCATCTACAACCGATTTAGTTTTTTCTGGCGTTTCTTTGCAAAATTCTATAGATATAGGTCGACAGAAACGAACAGATGAAGGCACTGGATTTTGCCATGTGATGGTGCCTGTTTCCACGTCAGTTAATCTGATAGGCACAAAAGAAGTAATAAATAAATTTGCATCGGAAATAAGTTCAGACTACATAAACCTACATAACAATATCAAATAATTAATTCATAAAATGTACCACAAACTATTGATAATAAAAGTAAACTACGAAACCGCATTTGATAGCGATTTCCGTTCCCAGACTTGTATTCGATTTTTTCACATATCTCCGAAAACCGCAAAAAGCCGCAGCTAATTTTTTTATATGTTTTAGATGAGTAACTAACCTATAATTTAACATTAAATTCAAAGCATCGGTAAACAACTCTAAATGTTAAAAGATTCGACGAAGTTGAGGAAAAATAAATATTTCTCCATTTTTTCTTTAAATTGGTTTTTAAATTTATATTCATATTAAAAACAATCAATTGTATTTATTTCTAACCTCTGATAAATGTGCTTTTCAAAAATATATAATACCTTATACCTTTCATTTCAAGTTTTAAAACTATTTCACGTTGAAAAACGTAAATGAAGAACTTAATATTTCCCAGCTGCCTAAACGTTTAACTTTGCTACATGAAAAAAAATACTTTTACGAAATAAAATATGAATTACGCTGCAGAATATTAAACTTCGACTTTTGAACTATTAAATTATATTCATATATTACCCAATTTCAATCAGTAATAAAAATCAATTTTGATATGCGTTTGTTCTACCATATTCCACCGTGCGCTCGCCTGACCTCAACCCTATTGATTTTTTTATCTGGGGCTACTTTAAAGAAATTGCTTACGCCAGAGAAGCTTCGAGTGAAGAAGAACTGAGAGCAAAAATTCGCGAAGCTGAAACCACTGTGAAAAATAACCGTGAAACTTTTAGGCACCTAAAACAAAATTTTTTGCGCAGATGTAGATTGTGTATTTCTGTGGGAGGGCGAAATTTTGAAAATTTGCTTTATGTAAATGTATTTTGTTAACAATTAACTGCGTTTTACTCAAATCCATCATAACTGAGAGAAAGGCAAAGATTTAAATAAAAGAAAATAATTATTTTTTTTCCTTGAAAAATGCCTTAATTTACTTTGAAGGTCAATTACAGAAAATAAACCCCCATTAACCCTATCTTTATTTGACCTTGTTTTAAAGTTTAATGTTTCAGAAAGTTTCTAAAAGCACTTTGAACTCCAAATCCTTTTATTATTTATTTATTTTGATACTTTGAATATTTGTGTGTACTGAGCTCAAATCGTAATTTTGAACTTTCGAACAAATTCTAAGTGAATTCTGCAATGCCTAGATAAACCATAAGTTTTAGGATGATAGGTTAGATTATGTTAGTCAGTTATTACAAAAAAACTGTACCAGAAACGTCCAACAGGATGAGAAAAAAATCGAAAACCGATGTTAGGTGAAAATTACGAAAAAAACTTTAAAAAAATTATAACTCGAAAAGTACGCAAAATCGTAGAACATACATGGGGATGATTTGGATACTGCTCATCATAAAGTATCTAAATTTTACTTTTGAACGTCAACTCCCCGGCCACCCTGTATGTATTCTATCCGTTACCCTAGTATACCATTACACAAGCCTTACTTAAGCCTCTGAAGTGCTTACTTTGGGGCTAGGCTAATTGGTGGGAGTGATGGAAATAATTATTTATTTAATTTGAGTTTCTGAGAAGATGATTAGCGAATCATTCTAGACACCCTAAATGGCGATTGCCGTAGCAATTTTTAAAGTGAATTTGACCACTCTGTCAACTGTCAGCAATTACCTTATATTTGACAGCTTTTTAGTTAATTTTATCACTGAACAGCCGGGTGATACAAATTTATTATTAAAACTAAAGATTTTTACCAAGGTTAGGGCAGCGTTCCAAACCAACCAATGTTCTTCTTGCAACTTTTAACCCTGACGTTTTAACTTTGACATAAAATGTAAGAAGCTTATGTCAAAATTCACTTTTGTTGCACCTGGAGCGTAGGTTTTGAACGCAGCTTAGAATATAATAATTAGTAACAGCTATTACTTCACTTCACTCAAGTAAAGTACACAAAATCAATGAAACCTTTTTGGTATTTCAGAGTTTAGTTAAAAATGGACCGGGCAACAAAATGTCATCTGAGGAAAACGTACGCCGATCCACAAGGCCATCCAAAATAAAGGACTATGCCAAAATGATTCGCGATAAGTATGTATGAGAACGGTGGAAATACGCCTTAAGTCTTTGATCTTAAGAGATGAAGTTGATTTTTCGTTTTACTTTTAGATCGCAGGATTCGTCCGACGAGGATTCAGATATGGACGAAGAATATAAAGAAGTGGAAAAGATTGAGGTAATAAAATAAAAAGGGCTGATAATTTTTACATTTACTTATAGGCCATATTAAGGGAAAAAATATTTTAATTAAAATGTTTATTTTTTTCATATTTCGTCGCGCTAGTACCTAGAGGCGACAAAGTTTTCGAATACTTATAATAATTTCTTAAGGAAAAAAGTACAAAATTGCGCGAAAATTTAAGAAAACCTAACTTATAACTACCTGATAAATGGCACTGCATTCGAGTGTTAGCATATTTTGATATTCTCGAGCCCCTGGCAGTTGGGTTAGTGTTAATATAGTGCTGCGGCGCTAGTGTTAATATAGTGATCCTCCCCTCTCCGTACCAAAAAAAAGTTAAATCACGCTTTATTTATAGTAATTATGGTTTAGATTGCTTTATAATAATGGTTATTTCTTTAGATGCGAGGCCGCCCTCGACGGGGCAGCGTGAAGGCAGTAGCTAGTAAATCTCCCGCCGCCGCTGCATTAATGACGCCGCCAGTCCGGAAGCGAGGCCGCCCCCGCAAGGAACCACTGAAGGAGCTGTGAGTACTGTAACTGTCCCCCGTATCATTGTATGGATGACCTCGAAGGGGCCGCGTTAAGGCAGTCGCTAGTAAATCTCCCGCCGCCGCTGCAGTAGCGAAGCCGCCAGTCCGCAAGCGAGGCCGCCCTTCCCAAAGAACCGCTGAAGGAGCTGTGAGTATTGTAAATGTCCCCCGTATCATTATATGGATGACCTAGAAGGGGCTGCATTAAGGCAGCCGCTAGTAAATCTCTCACCGCCGCTGCAGTAGCGACGCCGCCATTCCGCAAGCGAGGCCGCCCCTTCAAGAGACCGCTGAATGAGCTATGAGTATTGTTAGTGTCCGCCGTATCATTGTTTGGATGACCTCGAAGGGGCCGCGTGAATGCAGCCGCTAGTAAATCTCCCGCCGCCGCTGCAGTAGCGAGGCTGCCCCGTAAGGAACCGCTGAAGGAGCTGTAAGCATTGTTACTTTCCCCCGTATCATTGTATGGATGACCTCGAAAGGCCGCATTAGGGCAGCCGCTAGTAAAGTGCCAAATAAAAAAATCCTCCGCTGTATCGATACTTTTCAACATGTTATTTTCAGATAAGCTTTAAATATAACGCGCAAATTTTAAATTTCTACAGACCTGCAAAAATTAAAAGAGCCGACGAAGAAGAACCGGAACCAATGGAAACGGAAAGCAAAAACGTGAAAGATGATTTGGATGACACCAGCAACAAGTCGAAACATGAAGGCATTTCGGATACGCTAGAATGTAATAGTATTCCTCAAGAGGCAGTGAACGCAGGAAAAACTACAGTATGTTTAACTGTACCCTAAGCACGAACCATTATCGAATTCGAAATGTTGAATTCGATCTCGATACGCGTCAAATATCAAGAATTTCGTACTGTTCAAGTTTCCATACAAAATTTCTCGCTGACGATTCGCACTCTCAAACGTTATGAATTTGATGTTGGTTCGTGCTATGTGTACTGTACCTTTAGCATGAACCAATATCGAATAGTTGAATTCGAACTCGATACTCATCAAATGTTAAGATTTTTTTTAATGTAAGACAAAAGTCTTCCATACTCGAATTTAAAAAATCTCATTGCATCGTTAGTTAGTTTTTGCGCTATTTTATTTCCATACAAAACTTCTTGACATTAGACTCGTATCAAGATCGAATTTGATGTTGGTTCGTGCTAAGGATACTGTATACTTATAACACGGAACGCAACCAATAGAGACCGCATTACTCAATATATATAATGTTTATTTGAAATCTAAATCTCCAAAATGGGTGCCGTGCGGGGAGGGTAAAGGTTGTAGTATACATCAACTCGGAAAATGATCGTCACCGTATCAACTCGAGCCGTTCTGTAATCTTTATTTTTTTTTTTTATAGCGAGGTAGGCAAATAGCTCTACCCCACCTGATGTTAAGTGGTGGTAAAGTCCAAACGCGAAACCACCATTCTCACCTTGCCGGTCTGCAAAAATGCTTCTTCACGCCTCTCTTAAAGGACCCCAGATTAAAGAAAGGGTACACGTGCGCGGGTAAAGAATTCCACTTACGCATAGTACGACAAAGAAATTAGTCACCAAATTTCTTTGTTCGTGTAGGAATAGTGGCCACAGTAAGTCGTTGGCAACGTAGGCCAGCGCGCGTGGTCCAAAAGATTCTTTGTTGGAAACTCCCTACTGCAACGCACACTAATCGGAATCGTAACGTAATCTCCTCGCCTCGGTATAAGCTCATGCCCAGATATGATACGTAGTGCACTTCAAATGGCTGTTCGTAATCCCTATTTGTAAACTTAACTACAGTTTCTCGTTTTCTTTCCCTATAGAGCGGATAAAGACAACCTGCTTTCGAAATGACAAATAGCAAAAAACGAATAGGCATTAAAGTGCTGGCATGACGTCACGGTCACATGAAAAATTTGTTGCAAACTTGTATCGCCACGTTTGGGGTATTGCTGCATAAGCTTAGCCACGGATTTTAAGTAAATTCGAATGTCCATGTTGTCTCGTTCTATTGTTATTACAAAGAGACAGCTTCAACTTGAAAAAAAATATGTCCTACTTACTCTTTATAATTGTTTTCTCTACAATAACGCTTACAATAGATAGGATGAATTACTTCGCCACATGAGATAAAGAGAAGGCGTAGACTAACTCGTGCCTACGAGTTAGTCTACGTATCTATACTTACCGCAATGAACGCTATATTTTATTTATAACAATCATTTTGTTCTCAGAACAATGTAAGCAAATCTCCCAGCGCCGAACAAATGATTTCTCCGGGCGGCGTAGTCATGTCGCCTACCGGACAAACACTTAAAAAGGTAAGTTAATGTTTTACAACCTATTTAATTTATATTGACGACCTCCGTGACCGAGTGGTTTGTACACCGGGTTTCATGGTGTCGCCGACTCGAGAGGTCCCGGGTTCGAATCCCGGTGGGGGCAGATGTTTGTGTGATGAACACGAGCATTTGTACACCAGTCATGAATGTTTAATATGTATTTCTATATAAATATACTTGTATAGTATATGTATTCTATCTGTTACCCTAGTATCCCATAACACAAGCCTTACACTGTTTACTTTGGGGCTAGGCTAATTGGTGTGATTGTTGGAAATATTTATTTATTTATTTACGTAGGCTTATATTTAATCTAAAATTGAAATATGTGTCAGGTCAGCTACCTTGTCTTACCAATTATATTATAAGCTCTTATTCTTCACCCATTTTATGAGTTATTGTTTCGATATGTTACAACACTAACATTGATAGCTTTTTAAATGTTACTTTATCAGTATATTATCACGTAGGACAGCCGTCAGCAAAAGGCGGACCGCGGGAGTTAGAACCTCGGACCGCGGAGGGTCCGGACCTGCCAAATATACCTAGTTAAATATTCCTACATATTCATCTGAATAATATTTTCATCAGACACTGTTTTATAGTAAATTTTATGGAGAATCCAAATATATATAGTTTGTGTAGGGTATTCTTACGAAATAAATGAGAAATCGGCAAAACAATGCAATCTTTCCACCCCGCGAGAGGTCTCGTAAGGGTGGTCGGCCGTAAGTACTTGTGAACGGCGCGTGCACTTGGCTGCCCAAGAGGTTATCTAGCCCTAGACCTACTAAAACTAACTAGACCTAGATTCATATTTGAAAACACGTAGATTTTTACTTGCAATTTATTTTGGGGAAAATATGTTTAAGAAATGTAACTGGATACTTTGTTTGGCTCCACATAACTATAGGCGGTCCGATAAATACTTAGCCTCACCTCCTCGTGGCGTCACTATCGCAAGAGGATACCATATTGTGGTCGAAATTTAATTTTATTTTAGAAAAGTGAGTAGAAAGCAATATACACTTCTGGACACATCTATTGGCCCACCTTGTATTTTCAGTTTCGTTTGGTCCTAGCTAAAATTTTATATTAGGTCGAGCAAAATGTTTTTATGCAGTTTTGAACCTGGCACATTCATAATTTCATTCAATAGTCTTATTTTGAATTTCGAACACAGAATTTAAAGAAACAAAAGACAATTTGGAGCCTGTTTGTTGATATCAAACAATCGAATACTAAGAAAACTTGGTTTTATTGGTTTACTTGGATTTAATTCTTGAAAGAGTGATTGATATCTTTGGTTTTGCAACAAACATTACTTATTCTTAACATTAAGGTGAGATACTATCAATAATCTATGGATACTTCACCTGAAGTCGCCGCCCAAGCTGTGGCACTTATTCAGGCCGGACACAGCCAAAGAAACGTGAATGCTCAACTTAATTTAAGTCGATCTGCGGTCCGAAATGTTTATCAGAGGTACCTAGAGACTGGCGGCTTTGTTCGTCACCAAGGAAGGCCACGATCTCGGGTCACAACTGAAAGGCAGGATCGATTCATCGTGACGACCAGCTTGAGTAATCGTCACCTTACCTCCATTGAGATACAGAAACAAATTCGCGACTTCCACGGAGTATCTGTGAGCGCTCGAACTGTTCGGAGAAGGTTAAAAGAACGCGATATGGTACCACACAAGCCAGCTAATGGGCCCAAACTAACGCGAGCCCACCGAACAGCGCGCCTTCATTTCGCACGCAGTCATTTAAATTGGACACAGCAAGATTGGAGCCGTGTACTCTTTCCTGATGAGTCTAAAATTGTGTTACATAGCAATGATGGAAGGAAGAAGGTCTACCGACGTAAGGGAGAGCGTTTCGGACAATGCTGCTTTGAAGAGAGGGTTGCTTATGGCGGTGGCTCACGGACTGTCTGGGCGGTATATCCGCGAGCGGCAAAACTCAACTTGAGATTGTTACAGGACCACGGCTGCCAACATTAAATGCTGAAAGGTACATTCGTGAGTGCTTAGAACCTCACGTGATACCATAAGAGCCCATGCGGCCGGCATCGTCAGGGAATATCTTCGGGATGTGAACATCACAGTTATGGACTGGCCAGCCAGAAGCCCAGACATGAACGATGCAGGAGTTGAAAACTGCCAAAGAAGAGGAATGGGAGATGATCCCTCAAAATTTCATAGAGCGGTTGATAAACTCTATGCCTAATCGTATGAGAGCTGTGGTAGATGCCCATGGAGGCAACACGCGTTATTAAATTAAACCTTTATTTGATAAAACATGTTTTTTATTCAAAAATCAATTTCCTTTAACAATGCGTATATCCGACTTTTTAGACGTAGCTCCATGTCGGATGGTATTCTGAATTCAAAATTAAAACAATACGATCGAAAAAGATGGTAAAATGTATCAGGTTTAAAACTGCATCAACAGTTTTTGTTCAATCTAGCAATCATATTTCGGTAGGGGCCATCGAAACCTAAACTCTAAGGTGGGCCAATAGATGTGTCCAGAAGTGTATATTGGTGGAATTGTACTACGAACTGCTGCCCCATCCACCGTATTCTCCAGGTGCGACTTCTTTTTGTTTCTTAATTTAAAAAAGTTGATGCCAGGTAGAAATTGAGTCGAATGAGAAGGTTATCACCGTTACAGGGCCTTTGTGTAGACCCCAAGAAATCGTATTTTTCAGACGGTTTAAAGAAGTTGGAGCATAGCTGGGTCAAGTCTATTGAACTAAAAGTAGACTATTATTGCAAAACAAATCTCCGCTTTTCCTAAAAAAAATTTTCTTTATAGGCTATGTACTTATCGAACCGCCCTCGTATCTAAACGAGTTATCTTCCTCATAATTTTATTTAAGAACATATTATTCGAGATTGACGGTAGAGACACTCCGCATTTGTTGCTCCTCTCGTGAACCAATCTTAAAAAAACTGGCTCAAGAACTTCGGTGTAATTTCTTGCACTATGTTTTTTTTATAATATGAATATTCTGATGTGAAAGTTAAATAAAACTTTACTTATTATATTTTTTTTCTAGAGCTCGACCTTCAGACCCTCCAAGATTTGTCAGCTGAACTAGTTATAAACTCAAAATGAATAATATTTTATATTATAACTACCGGCCACGTACGACTTCGTCTGCGTTAACTTTCGTTTTTTGAAAATCCCCCAGAAACCTAACCCTTTTCCGGAATAAAAAAGTATCCTATGTCTCTTTCTAGGTTCTAAGCCGTCTGTCTGTAAAATAACATACAAATCCAATCAGCCTTTTTTGCGTGATTGAGTAACAAACATTTACATTTATAATATTAGTAGGATACATAGATATTTTAGAATTAATTCATAATATTGTAATTTTTGCAGGTGCCTATCAGGGCTCTCCCACCCGGAGTCAAACCTCTACCTCTGCCAGTCGGTCGTCGTAAGTATTGAATAAATTACTCGTCGATGACTAGTAGCCTCAACCGAGTTGATATAAAACAGTTATAACATTTATGTTGCCCTTACTATAGTGAACAGTAATTTTAGGGAATATAAAGAAACCACACAAACTGTTAGTGGAAATAAACGAACTACAAACGACCTTCGGCAGCACTGTCAAAATTTATTGACAGAATATGTAAAGGGGGCGGATGCGCGTCTCATTCTTTTGATTGTAGACTCGTGATGTGGATGTGCCTAACTAATAAATTTAGTTTCTTAAGTAAAATGAATTTTAAGTATAACTACTTTATAAAACTATTTCCCCCGCCGCATGTGGTCGTCTGTATTGTTAGGGATGATGTCGAAAACTGCTGAACGTATTTTCACGCAAGTCTTCACCATTAAATTGATAATTTTTCACAGAAAGTTTATATGCATAATACAAGCCGAGAACAAAATCTATAGCCTATATTTAAGCAAAGCGAGGGCGGGTCACTAGTTTAAAGAATATTTATAATAAATACAACTGATTTTCAGCAATGGGGCCGGGTGAACTATGCGAGATGCAAATTGGCAAAAAAGTCGTCAAAGTACAGAAGATAGTAATGACAAAAGCTGAGGTAGAAGCCATGGCTAAACAAGGACTCGTTGAAATGAAGGTACGTAGGTTGTAGTAATATAATTTATTGTGTGCATATATCACTCGCATTAATTCAAGGAAAGAGGTTATATGGTGGGTAACCCTTAAAAGACAGACATAATGCTGTCGCGGACATTTTTATGGAACTTTCAAAGGGTAACAAATCCGTCACACATTTTTGTAACTTTTACTGTTTACGCAGCGCACGCGACGGAAGGTCGAAATTTGAATATTTTTCCCGTTTTAGCAACATTTTTCATTGGTGTTCCGCTCCTATTATTCGCTATGTTATGTAGCCTAAAGCGAAACTTTCTGAGATTAGCGCGTTGAACCAAACAAACTCCTTAGCTTTATAATATTTGTATAGATGCGACATCGTTTTAATGTCGCTTGTTTGATTTAGAATTTATGAATTAGATGTTATTTTAAAGGAGTAAAACGCCATTTCATGGTTAAGAATCTGACAATAATTATTCAGCAAATATTTGCCCTATTACTTTGGTGTGCTAGCACATAGAGAAAACATAATATTATTTCATAATTTGAGAAAATTATATCAAATGTTTTTTCTTTATTCTAGGACGGCACAATGGTTCTAAAACAGGGTATAAAACTACCTTCATCTGAAGCACTGAAATCATCTCTAGTCGGAGATAAAGGTTGGTATCAATTAATGTAATGTGGTGTTTACACGTTTTTAATTGATTTAAAATTAATTATTAAATCTTTCTAAAATTTACCGTTTTACACTTCAGATTTAATACGTAAACAAGTTTGCTGACTCTCATTTTATAAAAGGATGAAACTCGTCAAAATAATGAATTTACCTGATGCTTATAAAACAGTTTGGGAAGAACTCATTCCGAAGATGCCTTCTTTTTATTAATAAGAATAAGTTTCTTAATTATCTGCATCCTCTAAAAGGACATATGAAGACCAATATATAATAGTTTTCATGTCCATAATAGAATAGCGGCTACTTATCTGTATCCATCACTAGATAAAAGTTTCATGCATTTGGCAGCTTGTTCAAAATTGTTTACAGGGCATTACGCTTTTTCATTATTTTCTGTTTTTTTAATATTAAGTATGTTCTGCATATACATAGAGCTGTTATTATTTTATTTATTACAGATGCCAGTAAAGAATCTCCAAGCAAAGTGGAAAAACCTGCGCCAACACAAAGTAGTGCAATTAAAAATTCATAATCTTGTGTGAGGCACAATTATTTTAGTTAAATGCGTTGTTCGTGTTACTTTTGGACCGATAAGAGTGTAGTTATTGCAAAATAAAGTTTATTTTTAAGTACACATATACTTATACATACTTAAACTTTTATCTGGTTAAATTTCATACCTATTACAGATTATATAGTAAATTATAACTTAGGTATATCTGATTCACTTGGATAAAATCCATAAAAAATGTAAAAAAATCTACCGATAATAGATTTACGATTCTCTTTTAAGACTATGTTTAATGTTTTATTATACATAATTAAGTAGGATGAAATTATAAGCATTTAAGTGGTAGTTGTTGTTTTATTAAAATCTGGTGTGACAGTATGATGTAAATATTATTTATTATATGACACATAGTTACATAAATATGTATGGACACACATTGGTGCCGATTCTGGCGTGATTCTCTAAACTTAAAACTAAATTTAACATCAGTCTTTCCGATTCATTCTGTATAGAGAATGACAAGGATGCACTGTTTTCAATTTTAAGTTTAGGTTTAGTTTAATCATGTCAGAATCGATACCATTGTGTGAGTAGAATACCCTATTGCCGTGAGAGCTGTAATCATTATGAAAAATGTTAGTTAACAAACTAACATATTTATTATTACGTAATGTTTTTCTTTGAGATGATTCCTACATGAGTAAATATTGTTCATATAGTTAAATGTTGATTATGGGCACAAATTATGCTATGAATTCATCCACTCATATTTTGATTTCTATGAAAAAATAACTAAGTATTTTTACTAACCTATTGCATGATGAGTAATTACTTTTTTGTGAAAAATGAAAAGTATGACAGATTGTATAGATCTATTCCTTTGTAAGTGCTAAGATGAAAACAATATGAGAGTTTTTTGCGGGATTTCATCGAGAGCGGTTGGCGTCTAATTTTAATTATTCTTAAACTTCGTTCATAGTGGACATTGTGAAATAAAATTGGTGTGATTTTGTGTTACAACCGTCTGCGCAACTGAAGAATTCGTGGAATGTTTAAAATATACGCTGTTCCGGTCAAGCGTGAGAACTTTATTGTAGTGTTGACCTCACCGAAGCTTACCGAAAAAGCCAGCTCGACACATTTCGTGCCAAACACTCCTAGAAACAGAATAAATCACACCGACATTCTAATATAATAAAAGAAGATCAATAAAACTTAATACCAGGCTATATGGGTATTGTTCCCTTTGCCTTCTCCGAAATGGAAGGGAGAATCTTAAAAACACAATAAAATATTTAAATACAACATACTTTTTTATTTCAACTTCATGACAAAATTAATTTCTAAAATAGAATAAACGGAGTAGTATTATTTTAAATTAGTGCTTCAGCTACAAAGTAAAGCATTGATGTCGATTCTGGCATGATTCTCTAAAGCTAAACTTAAATTTGACAACAGTGCATCTCTGTCATTCTCTATCAAAATGAAAAGGAGAGACTGATTTTAAATTTAGTTTTAAGTTTAGAGAATAACGCCAGAATCGATACCATTATATTTATATGACCATAGACAACGTAGCCTGCGCAGTAGCAATTTTCCATAAGTACAAAAAATCTACTGCTTAAGTTTGTTTGTCTATGGTTTTGCTTAAGAAGTTGCCTTATCCACAAAATAGATAGCACAGGTAATCTCATGCATAGATCTCATTTGTATACGTTGACAGTATATATTTTTTATTCTAATGCACTAGAAAATTAGCTCAAAATTACTAAATGTGATAGAAACTACCTTGCGCAGATTTGTAAAATTTAATGCATGATGAAAGAGGTATTCTCTACATTAATAATTTTCGTTCAGTAATATTATGTATAATGCGATTCAAATAAGAATAGGAAAGCCATTGACCTCCATCTGTCAAGTCGCTTGAAAAGTACAGTTTGCAAAAAATCTCGAAACACTTTTTACCCGGCTGCGCAATGCAAGAGCGCGATGCGCGACGCGCAGACAGGGTTATGTGTTTAACAGTCTATATATGTATGTTTGTTCCTTTGTGGCACACTAGCGACCAAACGCCTGGACCGATTTTGATGATTCATACATCAATCGATTCGTCTCAATCATGGGAGTGCTACTAAAGATATGATAGTAATCAAAATTTAATATGGGCAACATTAGGCGCCATATTGTGACGAAGTAAAAAAAATAAGTTGACAAAATATGTCGAGTGGGGTATCACTGTCTAGATAATCAAAAATCATATTTAGGTTCCTAACACCATTTTTCATTTTATATGATTGTTTAGGATCTACAACGCTTTAAAGTTGTATATTAACCACTTACGCTTTTAATTTCAATCTTACGTTTGTATGGATCTTTGTTACTCTTTCACCTATAAAATACTGAATGGATTTTAATGAAACTTAACAGTAATATAGCTCATATATGATAATTACATATATATAATAATTTATGTAGTTATTGAGTGAATTGGCCAATATATAACAATAAGTGTCACATAAGACGGCAAAAAATCTCCCATCTGCGAGCCATTTTGGCCTGCACTGCAAAAACAATAAAAGTTACATAATGTATTGTAGAGTGAAAATGTATCTCTTAAATAGTTCTAAAAAAAAGTCCGTGACACCATATATCTATTTTTAATGTGTAAGTCATTACCGCTAAAATAATGAATCAAAACTAAAATATTATTTGATATCTATTTCCAAAATGCACATTTTGTATTAACAAATCATTTTTTATCCAAACTAATACTTTTGATATTTAAAGACGATAAACTTTGCTTTTTACACTATGTCATTTCGACAAATATTTAAAAAGTTACAACAATGACAAAGTGATAGCGCGGTAAACTATGTAAAAGAAAAAAAAGGGTATTCGCAGTATCTGATCCTATATGAAGTACTAACAATAAAACTGTGATACAGTTCCTTCTTATTAAATGATGAAAAATATATTATCATAATAGGTATTTATGATTATTGAATTTTAATGAAAAACTCAGAATTTTGCTGTTTTTCATTTTTTTAACGATATTACTTAATGTTACAAAAAAAGTTTACTTAATATAATGACAAATAACCCATTTTTCGCTATTTATTGGAATTCCTGTATTTATTAATTAGCTCGCGATAATATTGGTTTTGTAATAATTCTGCAAAATTCAAAGTAAATAATGTAGATTTTTATAGATAAATCACCCCTTTCATCACCCTACGCATATAAGTATTGCGATGTTGTAGCTAAGAACCAAGTTCCCATCTACTTCTATATGGGAATTCATTATATTCGATTTAGCTATTAGGGCACGGAAGCGCAACTAACAAATTCACTTTCGCATCTATAATATTATATTATACTTACTAGTGATCCACCCGGGCATTGTACGGGCGAAATTTATTTATCGGGATAAAATATAGCCTATGTCACTCGGACAAAATGTATTTAAATAAAGAAAAATGTTATAATAAATAACGTAGCTACCTTATGATGAATTAATATTTGAAACCGGTTCAGAAGTTTGACAGATTATTTGTTAGAAACATACAAATCTTGCTTCTTTATAATATTAGTATAGATAGTTAGGATAAGATAAGTATTTAATTGATGAAAAAGATTTTAAAATAAAGTAAGTAATAGATTATATTTGTAAAAGTTACTTAGCATTTGTGCTTAACAGTGATACGTTATTCGGTATTTTTTTAAACAATAAGAAAATTTGGAAAATAATTGCCATGATTGCAGTACTGGGAGTACTCTTCATTCGAGCTTTACACTACCAATAAAAAAGGGTCGAATACAAAGTCTTTGACCTGTTAAATGTGAACGCTTTAAAAGAAAACTACAAAGAGAACTATAAATTGATAATAAATGAGATTGCTATGGTGTTCTACCTAACTTTATGTAAATTTTATTATGCGCCTTTAGTTTAATCAAATATTATAAACTTTGCTTTGGTGATTGCATAATTATTTAATTTAGTGATCTAAGGCAATTGCCACCATTGTCCAAAAAAACAGACGGGAATTACTGCTTTCTTCAACCTGCGACATAAACGTCATTGATTGGTATTGTATATAGGGTGATTAAAAACATTTGAAGTTAACTTCTGGCATCTACATATTGGGTTTCTGTGAATTATGTAGGTTTATCAAATTATGAGACTAGGGACTGACACTGAATTTGTGTATATCACAATCTTAGACGTCCGGCATTGACATGACAATGCAGCCACTGCCAATTTTAAATAGTCGACGAATAAAAGTAAATGAATTTTATATTTACTGCTAAACAATTAAAAAAAACAAACAAAAGATGACTTTTTGAGTAAGTGCTAGTTTACTATAAAATTTACATACATAAGAGATATTTATGTAACGACTTGATTTAACTTACACATTTTTGCGAAAATTGAGGCCCATCTGTAGCCTTGACCCCGCTGGTAAAGTCTTTATACGTCTTAATAAATCAATCTTTTAGACCGACGCCAGGTACTTAATAATTCCCGCGATATTAATTCCCATACTGAAGTAACAAGACTACGGTATATACCGTCTTAAAATACTAACCAACTAAAAAGTGTGAAATAAAAAAGGTAAATTTAAAAAATCAAAAAACCCGACTGCTTAATTATACTTCAAATAAAAACTGAAAAGAAAAAAACAAGTCCAGTAGTCTATAATTCTGTTCATAAGGAACAAAGTTACTTTAACAGTCGGGACCCACTGTTGAAAAATATTATGTATTCTTGAATATCTAATGGGTCCCGACTGTTAAAGTAGCTTTGTTCCTTATTAACAGAATTATAGACTACTGGACTTGTTTTTTTCTTTTCAGTTTTTATTTGAAGTATAATTAAGCAGTCGGGTTTTTTGATTTTTTAAATTTACCTTTTTTTTTAGCACTCAGCTGATCTAGAATAAAAACCAAAAGTTTTCAAACAAACAATAACTAATGTTGATAATTAATATTATTTGTTTTTTTTTCACTTATTGAGTATTGACTATGAATGGTTAATAACCTAAATCGTCAACCAAATGTCACTTTATGTTGCGTTCAGAAACTCGATTTAAAACTTTCGTTTACTTACAGGATGCATGTTAGTATGTGACCTGCATGATTATTCATAACTTCTCCGGTGGTAATGCACAGATGAGCGAAATTGAAGAGCTAGATTCTGATTAATGTTTTTTTCACACAGTCTTAATAAAGAAATACTATTAAAAATCGGTTGTGTTCTTTCTCAACCTTAGTAAATTAATTTTATTAAAAAATCTGTTGTTTTGTCTCACTTAATCTTAGTAAATAAGTTTTATTAAATAGCTAAATTTTTTTGCTCACTCTACCTTTGGTTTGAATTGACAGCTAGGACGTCAAAATATGCCGCCCAGTCGGTCCTATTCTTAGTTGAACCGCATTATATATAATATGTACATGACAAATAAAAAGTTATCATTTTACACCCTTTCTGGTAGTTTTAGTTTTCAGATTCACAAACAAATGATAGTAAGATATTCTGTGATTTCTTATTACCTATTTATCGTAATTTGAACCAATAATGGGTATAGGGTTTCCCATTTACAAATAAAAAATGTATCCTCTTAGATTTTCGTTGCTTTAAATTAACACGAGTCACGAAGACTAAAAAAATCATTTGTTTCACGCGGGCGAAAGAACACACTATGAAAGATGTCAATAGATGGCACTGCTTACTAGCGACATCTAGTGACGGGAAGACAACTGAAGATACATATAAATGCCAATAGAGGTCACACTTGAAGTTCCCGCTTTTTATAGCCCATACGATAGGCGGCATGTTCAAAACTGAATCGAGACGAGAGTGATACCAACAAACGCGCAACAGCCGACAGTGGCGGATGACTGTTTTGTTATAAACAACAATCGACTCGCGAAAATATATAAAAACAAGAAAGAAGTGCAGTGTAATAATATTTCATACGTTACTTGCCTTGTGTGAACTAGTTCTCGTATTATTTTAATAAAAAACGTGAGTATTTTTTTTGTATTCAATATATTTTTTTATTTTTGAAATTTATTATCAAAAGCCTATTTTGATAAAGAGACTTGTTATCTTTTTTATTATTCAGATTTATAAAATTTATCTAAAAAAATTATAATGATCTAAATCATCCGAAAAACATGGCGTTGCGGAGCTCTCATAAAATTAAATAAATAAAATGCATTGCTGCTGAAATAATAATTGCGTACGTAAATAAGTACCTACTTAGGTACTTAAGTACCTACTGCCAAATAAATGTAGGCCTCCACTGTATTCAAAACTATCTAAATACCTACCTATTTTAAAATGCGAAGAAGCATTCATAAAATGCGTGTAATAGACCTAGTTGATTATTATATATTTAGGATAAATATTTTGTAAAATAATAAGTACTTAGGACGAAAAAAAAGTATATAAATAAAACGCAGTGCATCAAATTCATCAAGTTGCTTACCTTTATACTAGTGGTTTAATAGGTAGGTACTACACCATATGTTAAGAAAGCGGTAAAATTTTGAAATATTTGCATCAATACATTGTTTTTCATTAATGTCTTCGACTGTAAACTGTAATTCAAGGTAAGAACTTGAACGTTTGTTAGTTTCGATATAATAAGTACGTAATTTCAAATCATTATTTTCATTTTGTAATATCCATAATTTTATTATGATCGAATTACTTAAACGATGATTTTACTAATAACTAACTTCCGCCCGCGACTTCATCCCTTTTACCTTTCGCTTAGCGCAACATTTTGAAGGTTTTTTAGTAAGTACCTTTCTTCGAAGTATAAGAAAACTTAGAAAGAAGGATAGGTGAAATCGGTAATGTCGTTCTGAAGTTATGGCGCGCGGCCAAGTTAGATAGGGAGTCATTATTATTTAAAGTAATAATGTTGTACGTTTTAAATGTTGCATCTACATGGGTTATAACTTTGAGGTAAAACACATTTCTCTTCTTTTATCTGAAATAATTACTAACAAGAACCGCTACTGCAGGCGCGACTTGTATTTAAATGAAACTAAAACGGTCTCAGTATATTGGAATGGTGAATATAAATATCAAATAAAAAAACACTGCGTAATTTAACCAAACAAGGATTTTAAATCAAAACCTTAAGTAAAAAGCTTTTTCAACGGGTCTAAAGATCGAGTATTACAATTCTTGTTATAAGAAATAAAAATAAACGTTTATTATCTATACGTTCAGTGAATTCGTCGTAATTCCTTAAATAAATAAATCATTTGTTTGAATCTGTTCATATCTCGAGCTCGACACTTTCTTTGGATGGCTCTAGGTGGAATCATCAGCTGCCGGCCTATTAAAAAATATTCAAGTGTAAGGTTGTTTGAAGTTTCTTTGTTTGATAGATAGTGTTGTGTATACGGGATGTATATTGGGGTCACTCGTGTAGTTTTCACAATTGATAAATTGGATAAGATAGGGCTTATGCATCCACGCACACTAAAATCTAAAAGGACCACGATTTATTAAATATATTTTAATTGCAAACGTCCGTCCTTATAAATGTAGTACCTATACTTATTTATTTGAAAATATTGACAATTTCATCAACGTAAAAGTCTGAATTTTCTGAATCCCTTTTAGCAAATTGCGCCGAAAGTCGTGTCTAATTATTTTTGGCTGCCCTAGACGCTCGGCCCTACATAGAGGGTTCAGGTATCGTGGGGGTACGTCACAAGGTGCAAGGTTTCCCCTCTTATGTTAATCTGCCGAGCTCGAGTAAATCCTAAATTTTCCACCTGGGCCCACCACAATATTAAAGAACTAGATCGAGCATAATAATTCGAACTTAAAGCGCATAAAGAGCTCTTTTATTTTATTATTTGCTAACTGCTGCCGGCAACTATATGCGCGTTATACTTAGTACGTTTTTTTTTTATCTCACGTAAACCTTTTTTTTTTTTTTTTTTTTTTGTGACGAGGGGAAATGCAGTTACGCACCATACCGTGACGCTGACTAGGCGCACGGCGTGTGTGGGACTCGCCGGCACGGGAAACAGTGCCGACCCTACTCAAGCAGGACCAGTGCGGAAGGCCACACTGATCCTACTCCACTAAAACCCCCCGGTACCCTCCTACGCCCATTTGGGGGCGTCTCGGGGCCGACGCACCTGCGTGCGCCACAACTCCGAGCCCGCCCCCGGGCAGGCCCGGCCCAAATCTCACGTAAACCTAATGTTTTCCTGGTATAAATAGTATTCAAACAATCCGTTCAACCATTTTCGTTTGAGTGACAACATACAAACTGTCACGTATATAATTCTACCTGTTACCCGCGGTTTACCAGGGATATTTTCCCGCAGTGGCCTATGTGTTAATTCAGGGTGTCAGCTAACTCCATACGAAATTTTATTAAAATCGCTCCAACAGCCGTATAGACGTGAAGAAGTAACAAACATCACACTCACACACAAACTTTCGACTTTATAATATTAGTGTGATTAATTGGATTGTGATAAAGGCTTACAGTTACAAGCAAACTGTGAAAAAATCTCACGTCTACTTAATTCCGGTTAAGATATAGAACCCTGCGACAAGATACAGCAGATGCATAACAGGTTTCCTTTTGGCTCCTTTTGTGTACGAAACCATAAAAAAGATACAAGTTGCAAACCGTCATCTAAAGTTCGTTCATAATTTCACTAACGTAATTATTTACTGTAAGAGTAATCAAATTGCATACCTATCTATTAAATTCAAGGCTTACTCATTATCATAGTTTAATTGACGATAAAAATGTGAGAGAGATTGAACAAACAAATTCTTTGTCAGTTAGCTCTACCTTCGTGGCATTGAAACAGGTAGATAAATTAATTGATAATAAAAATATTGTCAACACTGCTTCTGAGTTAGTTAGCGAGATAGTGTGATATTTGACCAAAAAAACTCGCTAAATGGAGCAACACGTATGAGCCGGAAACTGTATGTATATGGTTATTTTAATATTTTCGCAGAACAAATAAGGCGTTGTATGACACGTAAAATGTTCCGCTCATCAATTATGAGCAAGAAGCTATTTTCAAAAGATCACAACAAGCTTTCTTGTTAAATTGTAATTGATATAATTCGTTTGTAAGTCTGTAGCTGGTAAATAAATAAACGACACTGCAAGTAATCACTGCGATTACTTACAAATAGATCACCGTCGACAAACCACTCGCTGTAACATTGGTGTCAATTCTGTCATTTTTCTCTAAACCTAAACAAAAATTTGACAACAGTTTATCCTTGTAATTCTCTATACTGAATGAAAAGGAGAGACTTATGTCAAATTTAGAGAATCATGCCAGAATTGACACCATTAGCTACTTAAAATCAAGATTACCTACTAACTAATACAATTTAATTTATAAAAAAAATATAAATAAGGAATAATTTTAAATAAATTAATTGTTATTTTTTTTACGTACTTATACCATAGAGTTTTTATTTCTGAGGCTAGTCCACACTAACAGTATCGGGATAATACCTGGACATGTAGATATAAAGCAAAGGAAAGATGCTACTAAAGGCTCTACAAAGTGAAAAAAATATCCTCTACTTAGTAAAAAATTATGGGTGATTACATATCTATCTTATAACAATTCATAGGTGGTTGGGTACAGTAACCCTAGCACGAACCATTATCGAATTCGAATAGTTTGCGAGTGCGAAATGTCCATGTCAAATTTTGTATGGAAACTTGAACAGCAGCGCCACAAAGTACGTAACGAGAACTCAAAATCAGTATACATTTGACAATGACATTACGGACTCGCAAACTATTCAAATTCGATATTGGTTCGTGCTAAGGGTACAAGATCATTGAGGTAAAAGCGAAGTTGGTGCCACGTTTACAAAATACATTAGGTATTTTCCAAAATTGGAACAGCTAATTTTAAGTACTTGAATTAGCACAACACTTGTGCAGAAGCATAAGTAGGTATAACACAATTTATTTCTGAATGACCACACACCTTTTCCCGTACACACACCTAATTCCCAACGACCCGCGGCCTTGGTGGGGACACAAGCATCACTCACAAGTGCATTTATTTATCTCCGCGCTGAACGAGATGACATGTTCGTCGAGTTTGTTTTCTTAACATTTGGGACATAAGTATTTTTGTTGTAATCAAAAGTCATCAGTCATCTTATTCTGCAAACTTTATGAGTAATAATTACTTATAGAGTTATTGTGAGATCCACCAAATCAAATAAATAGTAATGTACGTACATACAATGAAAGGTCGATCTACTTATTGAGAATAATATTAATACCTAGGCTAACTTTTTCCCACGACTTTGCACGCGTGGAATTAGTGATTCGAGTAGCTTGTTTTTTAACCAATCTGCTTTTTCATTAGTCTACTTATTGTTTATGTAATTTTCTTGACCAGCGGCCCCAAAAATCTAAAACTCCCATATTGTTTTTAAGACTTTGTTACCCCATTTTACCCATTATAGGGACCCCTTTAGTAAATCTAGCAGTTAAATGCTTAAAAAATAAATAAAATCATAACCCCTTTAGTAAGCTAAAACCTATATCACCTTTTTTAGCTAAAGGATTAAACGATCTTGGTGCTCCATACAAACTTTGAACACACGTTTTACCCCCTTAGGGGCTGAGTTTTGGAAAATCCTTTCTTAGCGCACGCCTATATCATAATAGGTATCTTTAATGTGTGTCAAATTTCGGCACAATTACGTTCAATGGTTTGAGCTGTGTGTTAAAGATCATTCGGTCAGTAACGGTCAGAAAAAAACATCTAACAGTGTACCCTGCTGGCCATTTTATACGACGATTATATAATCAAACATATTGAGGAGTGCAACGAACGATATACAGCTACGGCATACCGCAGTAATCAAAAGTACAAAATCCAGAAAAAGATTAAAGATATTAAATAATTATCAATAAAACAAAAGATCACCGATATCAAATTAGTTTTAAATATGCGCAGATTAATATAGATTGCGATACG